CGATGAAAAGAAACACAAAGATAGACAAATGATATCCAAACATGCACACAAATCTCAATGATCACAATTAAAAAAAATGTTTACATTTTTTTTTTCATTGTCTGCACATTTGAAGGTCACACATATGGTTTGCGCGCATTGTGTTGTTCAGCCTTTGCGCGTACTTTGTTTCCATTTATGGCAGTGGCGTCAATTTCACGAACATTTGCGAAAAAAATCACTTGTTCTTGTCGTTGCAAATGGGCCAAGTAAATTTTCGGTGTGCTTTTCATTTAGTCGTCGGGCAACGGTAACCGGCTACAACGAACAAAGTCACAACAAGTAACCGATGTCACACGAGAGAGAGAGAGAGAGAGAGAGAGAGAGAGAGAAAACAAAAAAGAAAATTGGTCATTTGTTTTCGTGACCAGTAGAAAATGGAATCAATTTTAATGCGTTGATATCGCCCCGAAACTCTGAGTGCATTTCATTTTGTGCGCTCTCGCAGTCCTGCATGACGTCAACAGCACGTTCATCGACCAAAGATAAATCAAACGTTACGAACCACACAGAGACAGAGAGAATGCAACAAAAAAAGCGAATCAGTCGCGCGATTCACATCTATTTTCATGTGATAAATTAAACATATGTGGGAAAATGAATTAAAAAGAAGAAAAAAAAAATCGTTAAAAATGGCGTAGCAAAGCCGAACTTGACCTTGATTTGTCGTGTATGAAATACATGCTTCTTTGAAATTGAATTTCAACGAAAAAAAAAAACTACACGCTATTGCCATTCTGACACTGTTTTCATGCCAGCTCTATTACTGTACTTTTTATATGTGCACATAGTTTTTTTTTCTCTTCCACTATGAGTGCTGTTTGTTTTTTGTTTCTTCATTGTAATTTTCTCGCTGCGTCCATATAAATCAGATCAACGCTCCGTGAAACGCAACGAAAACGCATCATAACGTTTCATATGGAAGTCATTTGTTTGAGCAAGCATAAACAGTAAACGCTATCTATTGAATTGAGAATATACAAATACTGACTTGATACAATACAATTTTGATCACTATTTGCCAAAATCGACGTGAATGCTTCAGATGATCCTAGTATGGGGACATTTTAGACAAATGTGAATGAATTTAGAGGAAATTTCATCATGAGGCAATTGCATTAACTGCCAAAAGATAGTTTCAAAAAGATCGCGACGAATTGACGAGTGAAAAAAAGCCATAAACAGAGCCAGACAGCCAGCCAGACATGGCAATGACTTGTTACAATAATAATCCATTTAATCGATTTGATTGTCCAGATGTGGATAAAAACAAATAAACTTTAATATAATTTTGAGACACGCTACGAACTGCAGTCTATATCCATTTAATGGCCCATTCGAAAATGGTTGTTCTAAATAACTTGATGGATTTTGATGCGTTCACAGTGTGACATTCCATCGATTTTTAGTAAATACAGAGCGCTTGAAATGCGCGCAAATTATTCAGGGGATTTCTGCGTTTTTTTCATCGTCTGTCTGTTTCTTGCTGGCTTATTTGGCTGTGAGTTGATCGAGCGAGCGAGCGAGCGAGCGAACGAATGAGCGTACAATGGCCGTGTGTTGAGCACAAGGAGGAGGTTTTTCTTCCGACATCGAATGCATATTGTTATATGTACGCTCTCTTTCTGTCTAGCTGAGTGGTGTTGTTTAGTGTGCGCTTGTTTGAGAATAAAATGGAATGATGATCTAATGTTGCTCAAGGTCACCCATTTTAAGCGAATTAAATGTACAACAATGAAAGCGACACTGACTCTCATCAGTGCAAAACCAGCTCCAAAAGGACAACAACAACAACAACAACAACAACAACAACAACAACAGCAGCAGCAAATATCATCGCGATTAAATGCTAAGAAATGTGAAACAAGTATATGGGAGAGACAGCAGCCGAATGCGGCATAGTCGAAGAAAAAAAACGACTCACTATACATGTATGCATATAATGATACGAACATCCGTATGGCGTTGTGAAGTGGCGATGCAATGCAATAGAACGTCAGCTACACTCTATTATATTCTTTATGTCTAACATGCACCGCATGTGTTTGTGTGCCACTCGCTCTCTCTCTCTCTCTCTCTCTCTCTCTCTCTCTCTTCGACTGCCATTGTATTTGTGCTGTAGTGCGCTCGATGCGCGCTGTGTAAATTCAAGAGCACGAAGAGCAACGATAACGGTAATAAATTTTGCATAGGTTTTACTTAAATTGCAGCGAACGGTTCAGCTTGGAACTGGTTCACAATCACTGTGATTATATATATATATATATATATGTCTGATTATCGTATATTCTCTCGATCTTTTTCCTCACGCATTCAGTCGTCGTGGTTGTATGTGTGTGTGCATGTGCATGTGCGTGTGGCTTTGTGCGCGCTTCAACCAGCCGAAAGAAGAATCGGCCGATATCTGATGACACATTTCATTCGACGAGCTGATAATAGCCTACTGCGCCTGCAATATTGATGCGATCTTGAAAGGAAATTTTCATTTTTCGACGATGGTGATTCTTTTCTCTCTTATTCGGTTCATAATTGAAGTCTTTCAGTATCATACGGTGTTCAATTAATTACTATCTTGTATGAATCGATATCAAAATCTGTTTACAAATTTATTGAATAAGATTTGCTCTCTATCGAAAGAAACACGTATATGAACCATATCTAATATGTAAACTATGCTGAACGAATGTGAGTGTTTGTATGCGGCGCACTTATACACACACATCCGCAACTTATTCCAGTTTCGCGAGAAATTTCAAGAAAATTATTCACCGTTCTCGTACTCTGCGTTATAGCATACATGCGAATTTCAATTTGCATTTGGTTTCGCATTCATTGTTCCGACCACGACGACCGACGTTCGCAGATTCGTATGATGTTTTCTCAATTTCGCATAAATCTGGCGCGCACTCAAGGGTACGCTAACGCAACGCAAACCCATACCATTAGATCGGTTTTAAATAGCTCGATCGTAGAATTTGAATATGTTTAAAGGTTTGAATTTATTATTAAAATTGTTTCATTTTGCATCGAGTCGATGGAAAGCACCGATTTCCTCGGGGATTCAAAATAATTCAAAATAAAAACGATGCAACTAAAAAGCATGTTTTTATTAAAACAGTCGTAGACTACGTTCATTCAGCGGCATTACCCTTACCGCTCCTATCTGCAAGCATCGACCATCGCCGCCGTGTTGTTAAAGTGGTGCAAAATAGTTGCTGCAACAAATAAACAGCTGCCGAATGATACAAAGAGCCAGGCGAGAGCGTATATTTTCATACTGACCAAGAGAGAGAGAGAGAGAGAGAGAGAGAGAGAGAGAGAGAGAGAGAGAGAGAGAGAGAAAGAGCGCAAAGAAATGGAAATTAACACATAATTCGCAAACACACACGGTGTGCGAATGGCGAAAACAAATACACACAAGCAGCCCAATTCTCTGGTTGATGATAATAATAAACGTAAAACAGAGCGCATTCATATACTAGCACAGAGAGTGGTGCTGCGATGAAGCAGTCGGGCGACTTTTGCCTCTGATATAGTCGTTTGTTTCTTTGTATATTCTCTTTCCGTTCCTTTCGCATAATTTTATTGCATATATATATTTCTTCTTCTTCTGTGTTCTGTTTTTTTTCTCTCTTCTGTTTCATACATTCATATATTTGTATATATTTTATTGTATGTTGCTATCGATGGCCGCCGTTTGTGATTCATGCACTAGTGCCGTTCCGCACACAATAAAAAAACATTGTGCTTGCCCTGTTTCTCTGTGTATTTCGCGCTGTTGTTTGATTCCATTCCACGATTTGGTTGGCTTTCTAACATTGTTTATTCGGTTTTGGAAGATTCGATGAGCACACATCGATTTTATGGTGAAAAATCCTCCGTTTTTCGATTGATTTGAAAACGCAGCAGAAACAGTGTGAGGCAATTTTTATTTTTTGGAAGGAAGTGTGCAATGTGTATGTTAATCTGAACGTTTTTTTTTATTATTTATTGGCATTTGGCAGCTGGACATTGCGAATGTGTGTTTCTCATTCATTTGCAATCTGTTGATTTTGTTTTTTTTTCTCGATGGTAAAACGGAAGTTTACAAAATCCAAATTAAATTGAAACCGATTGAGGTAAATAGTGAAATTGTTACTAAATTCTAAACCATAAGATTCATTTGAGTATTTGACATTTATCTTGATAGAATTGATACAAAAACAGTGACGACAAAAAAACTGGATGATTTCAGGTTTGCATGTGTTTTTTTTCCTTAATTGGCTAACAAATGCGTGATATCAGCGATGAATGCGGTTTATTTCGAAATTCATTTTAGATAAAATATATCGGCTTGAATTTTTTTTTTTAAGAGATACTAAAAAAAAACACTTCGAACGAAATGGAAATGTCAAGCGCAGAGATAGATTCAGTGAATGTGCGAATAAAAATTGAAAAGAGAATCGTGTAGAGCAGAGAAGAAAAAATCAAACAAATTTGAAGATATGAAGAAAAGAATGAGAGAGAAAAAAAAGTCCAACAACAAATTATTCAGCATACAGCACAGGATAAACGAAATGACCAGATTTTGTGTAATCTGTTTGTGTTGAGCAGTAAAAAAAAGTAAATAAATAAATTGGGCCAAAATTATTATGTGTTGTTTACAAATAGTGAAAAAAAAATTGGGTCAATAGTATACAAAACGCGTTGTTGTAAATAAATCCATTTTGCCGGTGCTGTTTCTATGGTTATTTTCTAGTCGGTTGACGTTGTTTGTCGATCTATTTATTTGTATGAATGTGTGTGCGAAAATGAAAAGCGCGAAAAGATTGCAGCAGTATTGTTTTTATTTTTTTTTTCAGCCTTTTTATAAATGCGAAATTCTATTTTGCATAATCGCTAAGCTGATATTTTATGTGCTCTGTTCTAAATGTCATCTCTCTCTCTCTCTCTCCGTGTCTTTGTTATTTGATCTATTTTAGTTTTGGACCCATCCATAATGGGACAAATGGGACCGATATCACCGCCTGAACTCAAACCAGACACATCACTTCTAAATGGCAACAGTATGGGTGGATTTTCACCAGGTCCTGGTCCCGGCAGCCCCAGCAATTTCAACCAAATGTCCATTTCGGCTGCAACAAACATTTCGCCAACAACCGCACAAAATCGCTTAGCTTACCCGCCAAATCATCCGCTGAGTGGCTCGAAGCATTTGTGCTCGATCTGCGGTGATCGAGCCAGTGGCAAACATTATGGAGTTTACAGGTAAACACACGTGATTTTTTTTGTTTGTTTACTTGAAATGTTTGTACTTATCGTTTCTTTTCTCCGTTTTATCGTTCACAGTTGTGAGGGATGCAAAGGATTTTTCAAACGGACCGTCCGAAAAGACTTGACCTATGCATGTCGCGAGGATAAAAATTGCACAATTGACAAGCGTCAACGGAATCGATGCCAGTATTGTCGTTATCAAAAGTGTTTAATTTGTGGCATGAAACGTGAAGCGGTCCAAGAGGAACGGCAACGTGGTGCTAAAATGTTACCGAAACAAACGGACGATGTGAGCCAGGCGAATCCAGTGCGTGATTTAACGATCGAACGATTAATGGAGGCCGAACAAAAAAGTGAAAATCGTAGTGGTGATAATGCAATACCCTATTTACGGGTTGGTCCAAATTCCGTTGTTCAAGCTGAATACAAGGTAAAATCAAATTTACTTTTCGTTGCTTTTAATTTGATGTCATTTGACGTTTTCTAACCTGTGTTTTGTCATTGCCATTTTACAGGGTGCCGTTTCACATTTGTGTCAAATGGTGAATAAACAGCTTTATCAATTGATCGAATATGCAAGACGGACGCCACACTTTGCACAATTACAGCGAGAGGATCAAATCACTTTGCTACGAGCTGGATGGAATGAACTGCTGATAGCGACCGTTGCGTGGCGTAGCATAGAGGTATGATCACCGGTAGCAACCAATTAATAAACAAACATTTTAATTGAACCAACATTTTCTTTTCGTTACAGTTTCTCGATCAGGAGCGAACAAACGCAGATGGATCGATTGATCGGCGGGCTCCGGTACGGCCACCGCAGTTAATGTGTTTAGGCCCTAACTTTACTCTACATCGAAACAGTGCACATCAAGCCGGTGTTGCACCGATATTCGACCGCATCTTATCAGAGTTGAGTGTGAAAATGAAGCGATTGAGCATTGATCGGGCCGAGCTAACGTGTCTGAAGGCAATCATTCTATTCAATCCAGGTATGATGGCGTTTCTATTCATTTCTATACCCCATTCCCTACTCCAATTTTTCATTTTTATTCATTTGTTTTTCCTATGCTCCTTCCAGACATTCGAGGATTAAAATGCAAGCAGGATGTTGATTTGTGTCGTGAAAAAATCTACGCATGCCTTGACGAACACTGTCGCAATCATCATCCCGGTGATGATGGCCGGTTTGCTCAATTGTTACTACGATTACCAGCGTTACGTTCTATTAGTTTAAAGTGTTTAGATCATTTATTTTGTTTCCGGTTGATCGGTGAAAAGAATTTAGAAACATTCATTGGCGAAATGTTAGATACGCCACTATAAATTTACACAAAAATGGAAAGAGAAAAAACAACAGTAACAAAACACAAATATACACACACATACAGGCACACACGAACACACACACATACTCACTCACTCACACACACGCAATCACGATTAATGTTTAACAGAAGAAAATCTATATATAAAAGAAATGGTCAAATCAGTGCTGGTTGACAGTGGTTCGGGTGACGGCGGCGTACATGAGCCAGATAGTCACACCAGATGCGCACACCGAACATTTCGAGAATCCGACATGCGATAAAAATTGTCATAGACAAAACATTTCTGCAAAATATAATAAAAACCAACAACAATAGCAACAAACCAGAGCTGGCCCACCCATCTCGCGTTGATCAAATATCCGCATCACATTCTTCATTCCGGCACTCATTTGATTTCGTAGCTCTATTAATTATCATCATCCTAAATCGTTATTTACAGAAAACAAACTGAGACAAATGCAAAACAAATGAAAAAAGAGAGAAAGAGAAAAAAAAACATTAAATAAAAGATTAGTTATTACATTTCTATATCATAAGAAACATAAAAAAAAATATAGATGAATATATTGAATGATTAAGCACTTGAGTAGTTGTATAGTTTATTGAAATAATTTATATGTGAAAAAAAGAGAAACAAAAATGAAAATGAAAGAGAAAAAGAAACAGAAACAAAAATCTTTTTTGATAGAGGAATTAATAATTATTTTTTTGAATACACACACACACACACACAAACACAACCGAGGTAAAATGCAATTTGGCGGATTGTGTCTCAAAAGCATGTGAGCAACTAAAGTCCACGACTTAGGGATAGTTTAAATCTAAAACAATATATATATATACGTACGCAAAACTTTTGCAAAAAAAGGAAAAATCAGAAAAAGTTACGTGTGCAAAACATACCGAGAGAGAGAGAGAGAAAGAGACGGAGGTAGAGAGAAAGAGACGGAGGTAGAGAGAAAAGAAAAACATATTGTCAATTGCAAAAATAAGAGTCAAAGAATTTCAAAACAAATGTTTCTTCTTTTTTTTCCTTCTCCTTCATCGTTATCTTGCGTAATTAGAAATTTATCGAAAAAAGAACAAACGCGATTTTAAACATTTATCAAAAACTCAGTTCATGATAAACGATACAGCATCAGGTCGATGTATGTGAATAAATCAAACCGACAATTTTTTTTTTGTTTTAAAAAACAATCATTTAGCTAACACACACACAAAAAATCCACTAAATTCAGTATTTTAAGTTTATTTGAATGTTTCAATATTTTTTTTTTTAAACCCACATAATGTTCGTATTCGAAAAGAAGAAAAAAAAATGCAATTTATTTATTTGACCTGTGTTATAAAAACGAGAGAAAAGAAATATTCAGGTACAGTTAAAACCATAAAAGAAAAATTTCTGATGTTTTCTATTGAATAATCTGAAATCACTCATTTTCATGATGTAAGACGAGTAACACACTATATTCAATTGAATCGCTGCGAATAAATTTACGATCGCATAAATCGTCTGAATAGATAAACTGTGATTTCAGTCGATCGCACACAATACCGACACTTTCAAATGTCAATATGATACTTGATATCGACACCGTTGGTGGTTTTTTTTTTTCTTCAAGCCATGATTAAAACAACAAGAGAAAATAAAATGTCGTTTATATGTTAACGTTTGTGATGTCCGGAAAGAAAAAAAAAATGTGTGGTAACTAAAAAATTTATTCGCAACGATTCAAAGTGTCGCTGTTGTTTGCAATAAATTCAAGTCCCTACTCTGCGTACGACGCATTCAAAATCTTGATTTTTTTTTTTTAATGAATTGCGATCAATTCAGAGCGCGCATTCAAACAATTGTTTCGATGTTAATTCTCGCGAAGTTTAAAACTTACATGTAATCAATCGAATTTGTGACGAAAAAACAACAACAAAAATATATTCAATCTTCTTTATTTTCATTATGTATGTGGCAGCAAAATGGCGAACACAAAACGCATTGAAAGAATATTTCTTTTAATAAAATATGGAATATACAATGAAAAAAAAAAATTGTTGGTGTTTATTTGAAGTGTTTGTGTGGGCGACGGGTAATTTATCATGAGATCATTTCGACTCGAAATTTTCGAATGGCTTTCAGCTATGGCAGAAAAGTGGATTTATCTTTAAAAATATACTCAATCGAAGGTTATTGAACTTTTGGCAAAGGTAATCTCCCTTATGAAGAAAAGTCAAGGTCAAAATTGTGTTTTATTTTTTATTTACAGAATTGTTTTAATTCCACTGTCTCAAGTGATTTTATGAAAATATCGAGAATATCTCAATTTTTCTTGAGTATATCGATTCGGTATTATCGAAGACCAAATAAGAGAAGAAGGTTATGTAATGATAAAAAAAAAGCTTAGCTTCAACGTTGATCCATCTATTTTAATCGACCCTCTGAACATAGTACATCATTATCTCCTTCAATTTCCATGTATCAGTGCAATTCGGCGATTGCACTGCTCTCAACCGTATTTCATGTGCGCTCAAATTCAATCATTAGGATTTCCACCTCTCCGCGCATAGATTTCATTTCCACCATAATGAACAGTGTACAATATATTCAACCATGACCAAGATCAATAGCATTGGTATTGTGTCGCCGCTTAATATTGAACCCCGCATTGAAGGCTGCTCATACTCGTGCTGAGAAATGTGAAAAGTGTGTGTGTGTGTTGACACTATGGCGGTGTATAGTGTTTCAATGCCTTATTCGACGCACACACAATTGCAATTGCTGTTGCGGTGAATAAACCTTACAGACGGTCAACCGTTTACGTTCCGTTTCAACAGCTCAAAACTCGGTATCGCACACAGCAGCCATTTCATTTAGCACGTTCAATTAATTTTTTTTATATTTTTCGTTTCAATTATTGCTGCTGAAGAAGTGTGATTTATTTTTGCTGAACGAAGGAATTGTTTGTAGTAAAAAAAAAAATCATTGTGTGCATTTGGAATTGGTTAAAAAAGTTGGCAGTCTTGAATGTGTCTTATTTGAATATAGACATTGTGTTTTGTGAAATGGACATTGGATTTAGGGATTGATTTTTCATTTCAATTTTTGCGACGTGCATTTCAAACTCTCTTTGAAAATTGTGATATTTCTGTGAATAGTCTTAAAACAAGGATAAAAGAGCAATTATACATGGACATTCGACGAAAAGGTTGAAGTTCCAAGCACTAAACGAGTGATCATCAGAATAATATTAAATTCTTTGAAGAAAAAAAAATGTAAGTAAATTATTTCATAATTTCATTTTCAGACCGAATTCAATTCGAATAAAAAAAATCGCAAATGAAATCGCAAGGGAAAAAAATCAATTGAAGAAGGGACGCAAAATTTTCACATACTCTCTCATATGTGTGAAACAGGATTCGCCTCTCGAACGGTGTGTGCGTGTGTATGGGTTGAAATACCTTGGCAACCGGCAACCATCAACAAAACAAAACTATGAAACGTTGAACGTGCGCGTTCGTGTGTGCGAGAGTGGATGTGATAATAATAATGCAACTGGTACATGTGTACGACTTGCAAATGCATTTCAATTCGAATGTGTAATGTCTTCGGCTATCCACAATCTCGAATGTATGGTGTGAATTCTATTTAAAATAACATTTCGTTCATGATTGCTCTCTACACATTTGTGTCGTAAATGTAGAGCGATACTCTTTCTATTCATATCAGAAAATAAATAAAATTCGATCTTTGCATTAGTGGAAAAAAAATGAATGAAGAAAAAACACTAGAAACTACTCTGTAGCAGTCCACATCGTTAGAACAAATTGTAGAATATCAGAATAGTGAGCTTGATCTAAAAAAAAGCATGTAGCAAACTCATACAATGGCCTAGCATTTATTATTATGAGACGAATTGCTTCGAACCATTCCGTTTGATATCAATGATGTAATCTACGGCATCTAATGCTTCTAATGATGATCACTCAATGAGTGATTCACTCATGATTATGAGTACGGTGTCATTTGAACAATTATTTACAACGAAGCACAGATGCCGGCAGAAAAGAATCAAAACAAAACTGAAGTTGGTTGCATTTTGCTTTCATTTCGATATTTGCCGTTATTTTCAGAAGAATTTCTTGCAAAAATTACAGTAGACGATACTTAGATAGTAGAATTTGAATCAATTTGATTGACCAATATTGGAAATCGACCATTTTTGCCTAATATTTTAGAATCTTAAATTTAGATGCATTCAAAAAAGAAACTATAGATAAATCACCTGAAAACTACGGCATGAATTGATAATTGAACCAAGGAATGAATTGCTGTTTATCCCTTTAAAAAGAGTGAAAATTTTCGAACTAAAATTTCTTCTGCTTTTTCTTTTCGTTTCTTTTTATACTTCGCTTTGAACTAACATTATTGAAGTTGCCTCAAAAATAACGAAAAAAAAGTAAATGATTTAATAAAATGAATGAATATCATTCATGCGAAACTTCAAATTATCGAAAATCTTCATTGCATAGCTTGTACGAGCATCGAAATGTACGAGTTTCCACTTCGTCGTCAAATCGATGTGAACGACGCAAGGCGCAAAGTTGATGGATTTACAAAAGCCGGATACAGTAACAATAACATTGTCGCTTATTATTCTGAAAAGTTTTGTCTTAACATGCATATGATGAATGGCTAATTTACAATTACAATACAATCTGTGTTAGGTGCAGCTGATGTAATGATGTGTGTTGAATACATTTTGATGATGTTCTGAGACTTTCGTCCTTCCTACCCCTCTCGAAAAGAAAAAAAACCCGAAACAACACTCACATAGACACGACAATCGAAAAGCTTTTATTAAAATCCTATTGCGTTGAATTATGGAGAAGCGAGTCATTGAACCTATTTCGAAAAAAAAATCATCTCTATTCATCCGGATGGGTATTGTGTATATGTAAATGGAGGGTTGTATGAAATATCAATAAGATCAAGGAATGCTAGCGAAAGAGGATGAATAAGAAGCGCGCGCTGTGTTGTTCTTTCATTCATGTTTTATGTAACAAAAGGGAGAGGGAGAGGGAGAGGGAGAGGGAGAGAGAGAGAGAAAACGGTGACCTCAAAAATCTATCATTGCCGCAAACTGTATGTCGCATTTAGTATGTATTGAAGTTGTAAAATAGCTGTTTACATTTTTGTTCCTATTAACGGATAGGGGCAGGAGTGCGGCAAAAGTGTTTCAACAAAAGCCGCATATCGTTCGGAACAACGATATACACGGCGCTTCAAGATAATGCTCTTTTGCAATTGCCATTAAGCTTTCCTCACAAGCTGCTGTAGCAGCAGCGCTTGTGTGCATGTATCGTTTTTCTTTGGTCTCCTTTTGCCTTCGCTTTTCACACCGAACGAGCTTTGTTCAAATATTTATCTTTTCCCACCCGATGCATTTTCCATTAATAGCCGTGTGCCGACCCGAAACGAGCGTTGCACATTATAGTACATCCCATTTCATATTCAACCGTCGAATTAGATGACTTTTGCCATTTGACGACGTGACATCTCCACAACCATTATCCGATTTCGATCCAATTCATTTTAATAATAAATTCGAATCAGTTCTCAGCATTGGTTCTCCCTGAACGGAATTCGTTTAATAAATTAATCAAGAATCAAAATCAATTTGCAAGTTTGAGAGATTTTTGTGCGTTTGTACGCGAGTTTTGTGAAAACATATTGAATGATTCGTCGATTTTCCAATTTTCGAGCAATCACTAACGATTTTTTTTTTTGGTGAAAATTCGAATTGGGATTTACCAGGCATATAAAACCAAATAGAAATTGTGGATTGGTACGAGTCGCAGTGGTGGTTAGATGCCACAAAAAATGGAAGCTCCAAATGGAAGAGTGCAGCCGGTAGAAATCGAACCAAAGTTTATATCTATCCTTCGTATAACCATTTTGATGATGTTGCATCAACGGTTAAAACCACCACCGTTCGAACTACCACAGTCAATAGCACAACCACCGATGATGGAGCTTATATCATTTTACCAGGTAGAAAGCGGCCATTTGAATTTCAACTGTTTTGCTCGTCCTCTTCATTCGTCCACTTTTGTTGAATATAACAGATAAATACTAAGACTATCGTTACTTGCAACGGCTATTTACTTCAAATTTGCAATAAGAAAAAGATTCAATTGAGCATTAAAATTCCAACATTTTCTTTGCAGGACCGGAAGATGTCAATGACTTCAAAGACGGATTGTATCAATGGTCAGTGACATTGACCGCTCGAATGTGGCCTCCCATTGAATCTGGCTCTCCAAAGCGATTTCTTGGCTTACCAGAAATTGTTTGGTGGGGAATCTTGAGCGGATGTCTCATCGTATTCTTTATACTAGTCTTTTTAATATTCTTATTTTGCTGGTTTTTGCCACGACGTCGACAAAAGAAATTGGACCTATCACAAAATTCAGTAGTTACTCGAGATTCGACCGGCCTATCGTCGGCCAATAGTACTGGAGTCATTTGTAAGTCTATGAAAATAAAAATTTTAATCAATAAACCGGAAAATTAAACCTTTTTTGTCCAGCATTAGATCATTTTAATGAGAATTAACCAATAAATTTAAATTTGACAGTTCCACACACAGCGATCGGTGTGAAGCCATGGTCAAATCTCTTGACAAATCCATCTTCTGTGTGTAATTCAGTGCAAGCATCACAGTACAATTCCCCACCAATACAATCACTCACCTCATCATCGATGTATCGGCATCAGTATATGCTTAACTATCAACAATTTCCATCGAGTTCGAGCTGTGGCGTCAACAGTAATGCATCGAGCTTTGACGATTATTCATTTCAAAATATTCCCGATACGCATAAATCGATGTGGGTCCTAAATCCTATGTACGCTTCAACCAGTGGTAATGATCTTTTTGCTTCTTCTGATTTTTTTTTTTTCATTCAACTCTTTAAAATCCAAAATTTCGGTTGCAGCATTTAGCGAAAGTGAGACTAGTTATCGAACACGTTCGCTTCCAGCATGGGGCAAGATGAAACAACGGCCAGTCACAATAACCGATGACATTGCAAATCTTTATGTGAAGGTAATTTGCTACTAGTAAATGATTCAATTTCCATGCATTATTCAAATACCTAACGTACTTGAAGTTTCTTTTTTAATTCTTGAATTCAAGAAGAAAATTTTCATATCCGGCAAAATTTTGTCATTGTTTGAATATGCATAATGATCTATAAAATCTAATGAGTGCTAATGAGATTTAACAAAATAAAATAAATTTCCATTTTTTTCTAGATGAATTTGAGTAAAAAACGTCGCAATCGAATGCGTAATGATGAAGCGGCCATAATTGCGTTGTGCCGATCTCGTTCGCAAAATTTGTCTGGGATACCGTTTGAACGCGAAGGAGTTGTTGTTTACGATGAACGTACTGAGCTGTAATTTGTGCTAGTGATCTGGGATGCAATACAACTGATGCAGTGGTTGACAGTAATCACATTTTACCTTAATAAACGACCTTAACCAATTTATATAAAGTGCTGACAACAAGTCAAAATCCTGGTACAACGAAGAAATGTCGAAAAAGTTTTTTTTTTTGATCGAGCATGATTTCGTTTTGATGCAGCTGCTTTGTATAGCATTTACTCTCCGATATTTCAAAAAGCTAGGATATTGTGATTCAAAGATCTCCATAACTTTTTGTCCCATTCTAAATGAATGGTTTGGAGCGAAAATGTAATACAGAAAAGTTGAGCGGAAAAATGTCGATGATAAATAAGCGGAAAAGGGATAGCTATACAGGGTGTTTCATAACGCCGTAGAAATCTCTCTACCACAGATTCCATGGCTCATGGGGAGTAAAAAAGTATAGGAGCACTTTTCCGAATTCGGCCTCTTTGGACAAGTTATGGCCGCCGGCGTATTTTCGGCCAAAAATCACTATGGTCGCGGCTCTGGCTATAGCTGGGCCATTTCTGGTCACAGCTCCATTAAAGTTGGCTTATTGGAAAGCTATGGAGCCCTACTAAACCATCCAATTCAAAAATAATGAAAAAAGTTGGATTGAAGGATTAAAATTAACCCATAACGGAAATTAGGAAAAATCGATGAAAATACTGAATTATCTCAAAATAATGTGTTATTAAGGTATCGTTTTTTTTATCATAAATGGAAAGAGCATAAAATTTAAGGCCGATATGCAAGTTTCCATAACCTAGATTTTCCGTTAACCCTACCAAAAAGGGTTAAAAGGCGCAAAATGTACCCATTTTTTGACAGTTTCAAGATATTGAGGTTAGAAATCAAAAACTATTGAAGATATCGGTCTGCTTTCTTCTGCAAAGTTGTAGAGGGCGCCAATTGCAACAACATGAATTTGCAAGTTTTTCGATTTCGCCAGCAGATGGCCGCGACCATAGTGATTTTTGGCCGAAAATACGCCGGCGGCCATAACTTGTCCAAAGAGGCCGAATTCGGAAAAGTGCTCCTATACTTTTTTACTCACCATGAGCCAAGGAATCTGTGGTAGAGAGATTTGTACGGCGTTATGAAACACCCTGTATAGTAAACTGTATAGTAAACTATAGTGAACTATATAGCTAACCCTTTTCATTTGACATTTTTCCGCTCAACTTTTCTGTATTACATTTTCGCTCCAAACCATTCAATTAATAGTATTTAATAGTAAGCATTACATATCTTTAGCTTTTAAAATGTGATTTAGGATTCCATACTCACTCTTGAAAATCGACAAACGTTTAGCGGCGTAAGCAGTACCAATTAATTTTTGTACGATCTAAATTGTCAGAAGAGACTTCAAAACAAGCAAAAAACCAGCTTTTAATTTAAATGAAATGTTTCCAATGGTTTTATTGATCTGACTTAAAAATAAAATAACATCCTTGTTTTCGTTTTTTTTTGTTTTCCTTCCTTCCTTTGTTACTTTTTCTTTCTGCCAACAAAGGGTTCATTATTCGAAATTAAATGGAAAGAAAAAGAAAGAAAAAAATTGTGAGATTTTAATGATCTGGACTTAAAAAAATATAGAATTAATACTATCGACCACTTTGAATTTTGAATTTACTTAAAGACAATATTTCACGTGCTAAAATGCAATAGATACGATGAATCTCTTTTCGAATTGTGTGTTGCTGTTGTTTTTCCTTTCTCAGTTTGTTTGTAATGTGTGTCAGTGCAGGCAATCTTGCGATATTTTCGTTTTTATTATACATGATTGATTGCTTTGGGTTCCGGAATCAGTGTGTACTTGCTTCGGCCAATATTTGTATATTGTTTTAGTCAAACCTATCAAGTGTAGCTGGTGGGTTTTTTTGTATGTAAATGCTGGTAAGTTGAAGATATTGTTCCGGTGTTAATTTGAATTGATCGAACAGTTTTGATATCCAGAGATGAATATGTTCAGGTAGAATGCCAGTGTCAACGGTACGTGGTGATATTCGATGAGCGCTATCCTTGAGAGCCGTTAAAAAGTCATCGAGTAAAATGTGCTGTTCGCGTTTGCTTGTCGTTACGGTGTCCATCAATTTTTGACGTAACATCGATACCGACACACGATCCAAGAAATCTGATGCAAATTGTTCATCGTTGTTTATCTTTTCGGTAGTATAGTCGGTGATACCGTTGGGTGATTTCACCGTCAAACGATCACAGATCACCGAACACAAATTCTCGGTGATTGCATGCTCCAAAAAGGATTCTGAATGTGTTTCGGCTAGCTCTTCCAACGCATGCGTTTCCGCTTGTTTATCCGTTGACATTATGGTCGATAGTCGTTTGGTCAAAACTTTTGCATCAAATACTGACTCAAACTTTTTGAGAATGTCGTTCGGTGAATATTTCGACAGCAAATGCGAGAAAATGTCATCGTCTGAAAATTCATTGAGTGATTTAGCCGTTACTGCTGCTGTTGCTGTTGCTGTTGCTGATTGTGGTGGGTGTGCTGCGGCTGCTTCAATTTCCGGATCATCATCATTTGATTCGGTTGAGCTGTCATCGCTATTTGAATCGTGATTATTGGCTGCGGGTGTTGTTGTTGTTGTCACTGCTGCTGCTGTTGTTGTAGTTGTTGCATTCTCTTCGGTCAATTGCTTCTCCTGTTTGGCACGATACGATTCGGCATCCATTCCAAGGTATTCTTGTATTTGTTTCACACTCACTTCATCGCCCTTAGCGTGTGCGGTTGATGTTGATTCGGCCATTGTTGCATTCGAATCATTCAGTTGTGATGCCTTCAAATCGTTGGCGACACTCTTGGCACTGTCATTTTGATTTTTGTTTCGTTTCAATTTGAGCTTTTTGAGCCGATTGGCGCGCCGACACGGCGAATCATTCGATGGCAGCATATAGAATGGTGTGAACTCTTCATCGATAATATACTCTTTCGTCTGTGACAATGGAAAACCGAACGATACACGCTTTCGTTTCGCAGCCGGTGAATGCATCGAATCGTCCATTGAAATGTTCGAACTCTTTCGTTTCAAAATGCTAATGCCTGGACTTTCGAATGGTGATGGCAATGCACCCGAAAATGTCAAGAAATTTCCGTTCTCGTTTTGTTCATTCCGTTCGTTGGGCCTCATTTTCGGTTCGGGTGTGTGCATCACATTTTCAAAGATCGGAGCCGTTTCCAATTGGTTGATGGCTGGCGAACCGGTTTTTGTGATGCTCACGAATGCATTTTCTGCCATTGCGGTAGGTGTTGGCGATGCCGGTTTTGGACTCTTGTTACTGTTGATCATTTTTAGTAGCTGTGCACCGCGACCCATCAATTGTGTTTTGAATTTGGACGAAACGGGACTGTGATGTGATTGGATTGGAGTACTTGACTGAATTACATGGGGCGTTTTGTTCAATTGCTTTGATGACGATACAACAGGCGACTCGGCGACAGGTACAACAGCTGCACCAGCAGTGCGTTGAGCTACTACGTTTTTAGTGTTCTCATTTTCACTCTCTTTTTTCACAGCGGATTCTTTGTCACTGATGATCTCATCGCTAACCAATGGTTTGTCAGTCTTACCATCGTATTCTTGGCCAGCACCGGCAACCACTGTCTCTTGAACTTTCTCCGCTTCATCCAAACCTTCAACGACAATCTTCTTTTTCGCTGAATTCTCCACTTTTTCTGCTTCTTGTATAATCGGTGAAATGTTCAGAGTGTCATTTAAAAACTCCAAACTGCGTGGCGCACCAATTTCCGGCGATGTGACAATTGTGCTGCCGTTCAGACTCTTTGATGGACTAATGCCATCGAAAACCAGTGCACTCATGTACGATCTACTTAATATATTATTCTCTCCATCGTCGTCGTCGCCACCGTTGTCCTCATTGTCCGGTCCGCATTCATTTTCAATGAGTTCAATGCCATTCGGTATCGTTTCCGTTGCAACAAGTATTTGTGCGTTTTGCTCAACTTCCGTTTCCATTTTATTGTCTTCGTCGATTGGCTGAATTTTTAGTGGTTCAGGTGTTTCGTTTACGGTTTCACATTGTTCATCGACATTCTCCGTTGGTGGAACCGATTCAGCAGCAATTGGCTCATCCACTTCCATTGCCGTACCATCATCGTTGTTCTCATTTTGTTGCATAGCTTCGGCTGCCTTATCACTCGTTTGCTCCGCTGCATTTCCTTTCGGTTCTTCCTTCGTGTCCACTTTAGCATTTTCAATGTCCGACTTTTCGCTGTGTGGTTTTGATGATGGATACGTCGGTAGTTTTTCCACTTTAAGTTCAAGCGTATCCTTAAATTCAGTCTTTTTGTGTTCTACTTTTTGAATAGAATTGGATTGAACAATCGATTCATCGAGGTCGGAATCATCCGTTTTAGATTGGCGGGTTAGTCGTCGTTTCGGCGTTGATTCACCGGTTGCCTCATTATCTGCGCTATTGACAGCAGCTTTAGCGTTTAGTTTACTTTTCACTTTAACGGGTACCGGTGAATTAGCCAGCGATGCTCGTGTGATTTTCTTTTTGACCACATCTGGTGTTGCAGGTTTTACGCTCTCCGATCGAGTTTTTCGTTTTTCCGGTTCGGATTTGTCGTCGATCTTCTTGGTCGGTTCCGAGTCGGGTTTCTCTTCGATTTTCTTTATCGTGCTACGGGTCAAACGATTACTTTCGGGTAGACTATTGTAAGGCACTTCCTCAATTTTGGCATCGATTTGAATTCGATTCAATTCACGCGTTACGCGCCGTTTCGATGGTATTTCATCCGATGATGCATCTTTTTCGCCATCACTTTTACGATCGCCGCAGTTGTCACTCTGACTTTGGCTCGATCGTTTCGGTGAGGTTTTTGCACTTTTTTCGATTTTCTTCGTTCGTTGGGATGATGGAGATTCGGGAACGATGATGGTGGCAGTTGAATCGACGACGGCGGCGGCGGCCATGAATTTCGATTCAATTGAGTCACCAGCCACGGCACTCTTCTCGTTGCTTTCATTTTTCACACTATCCGTTGACGTTGGCACGGCTTTCGGTGCCCATGCTTGAATACTAGCACTGTCCTGACTCTGGCTCAAATCATTGTATAGAGCTGGTATATCACATCGGCGCGTTTTCATTTTCTCTTTTTGATGTTCGGTCAATTTGCTCGGTTCTAATTTCCACACCTTGTTCACAACAACAAATTCATCCTTATTCTTTGCCGAACGCAACGATTTTTTCCCCTGTCCCGGTGATTTCTCCGTTTTAATTTCATCGCCCACCATTTCCTTCAAATCTTTAATGAGACTCGCTTCGGTGCGTAAATTGGACTTTTCACCATCGATCAACCGGATGACGTCACGCAATTTTGGTGCAATTATTTCGAATTGCTTTTGGCTAATCGCACGACGATACTTGATCAACGCTTCGGTGATTGAATTCAAATCTTGAAACATCACTTTGGAATCTTTTTTAATCAACAATCCGCACAAATTTAACATATCCAACGGTGCACTTTTCAATTCTGTAAACAAATTGGATAAAATTAGCAAATTTGACATACATTTGATTTGATCATGAAAAGAAAGAAAAAAACAAAGGGAAAAAATGGATTTACCATCAAAATCATAGACCATATATTCAAACAGTGTTGCAATGGTGTCATTGATATAGATGCAATGAGCTGGATTTGCGATGATGGTTTTTACCGTTTTTGCGCTTTCCTTGCAAAATTCCCATTTGCTAATCACCGTCAGCAATAGGTCAATCGCTTTCAGCAATATTTTTGTGTAAACATCAAACTGAAAGGAATAACAATGCGAACGAATGAAAACAAAAAAAAGTTCATCAATTTATGCAACGTATGCATAACAACAGTAATAAATGCAATGAAAAAAGCAAAAAAGAGTCAATTGTCCAACCATAAATAAACTTACCTCATTTCGATTCAAAGCCATCGACAATGGCCAATAGAGGATGTTGTAAAATACTTGCGGGATTTGTGTCGTTTTCGAATTCGACAACGTTTCTTTGAGTTGCTCAGAATTGGTGTGAATGTATTGTAAAATGCCATCGATAAACTCGCAGCTGATGGTTAATTTGTTGGCATTTATTTCGCCGGTATTTGCTGCTTGGTTGTCGTTTTTGAAAAATTGCTCGTGGATTTCGGTCAAAAAATGCGTAAAATTCGGCACAACAAGGTTAGCATCCTGCGGTACGGCCATCAACTTGGACAGCGATTCATTGAAACGTGATTGCATGCTTGGCAATTGAATCAGGGTGTTCATGAGTTTGGCAATCGCTTTAATCGTATCGTCCGTTATAATATCGCCTTCGTTTCGATCGAAAATAAACGACGTACTCACATTTCCCAATATTGATGCACAGATCACTGGAATCATTCTAGTTTGATTTGGATCCTGAAATTATTTGAACAGACACAGATTAAAATTCAGAAAATTCATCAGTTTGAATGAATAAATTGAATTGAATATTCCATATGGAAAAAATGAATGAATTTACAGTCGGATTAATTTCAAACCAATGAAAACAAAAATCTGCACTTCAACTTACAAGTGAATTCAGTTTCAGCAGTTGTGAAACGTTGTCCAAAATTCGGTTGATATGTTCGGCGTTTTTCACTTTATTTACGTGCTTAAACAGTCGCGTCCACAAGCATACTGCCAATGTAATGCAATCGATATTGTTGTTTGCATTGTTACGCAGCCGATTTAACATCATCGTCGCTTCGCCGCAAGCATTTATTATAAATGCTGACGTTGACTCAATGTTAAAGATGGTTTCGGTTAAAATCGCAAATTTCGGATGGTCGAGTGAAAATTTGGCAAACAGCTCATCGATTTGTTTGTCGCTTTCGTCGAAAATGCGCAGAAGCGTTGCGATTGCCATGAGTGAAACGTCGGAAAAGCTGCGATTGAGAGAATTGTTGATGAGTACAAAATACATGGGTTGAAGAAGAAACAAAAACTCTTTGATGAGTGGTTTGAACAGTAAGCACATAGAATAAATCACAAAAGTTTTTGATAGTTATATGGATAGGTGTACCTTTTGACTTGTGTGGCGGCTTCATTTGGCTGTAGATGAAGATCGGGCTGGCGAAACAATGGACCAAAGCAAAAGTGTAGGAACGGTTCAAACACCATCGATATATAGTTCTCGACATTCTCCTGTACGTTGCACACAACGTACCACCACGCTTGAAATTTATTCGTTGCAATTTCCACGGTTTTTGCTTGTAGCGATTTCAACGGTGTACACATTAATTTCAGACGCTTTTCGGAGTTCAAACGATTGTGCCGTACCAATACTTCCAGCAAAGCCTGCAAATAAAATACCGTCATGTTATTTGGATCAAAAACAATTGAAAGTGCAACAATCTGCATGTCAAAATCATACATACCCGCCAACACAGATAGCCTTCGGCACGACGAATGGGCACATTGCTTCGCAGCGCTGGTTCAACGATCGACAGGAATGCATTCAGTGTGCTGGCACTCCGTGGAATATCAACATCGAGCAATCGAACGCATAAACACCATGCTAAATACCATTTTGGGTTTCCCTGTCGAAAGCAAGCGTTTATTTTCTTCGTGTAGTCGCTTAGAATTTCGAAACGAACACGTTGCCATTGCGGATGCGATTGATAGCGTGACGCTAATAGCAATGGCATCGCTCGATTGACCGCTTCGATTGCATTCGTTTGGATGTCGTCATCGGTATCAAATATCAGCGGTACCACCTCTTTGAGCCAGAACTCGATTTCAACGGGTGACATTTTCGTTTCTGGCGAAACTTTTACACAATTAATTACTTTTATCAGTAATTCCAAAATCTGTGGGAAAAGAACGAAAAGCAAATCAGTAGTCGAAACGCATTAGAAAGAGCCGCAAATTGAAAGAATCACGACCAATTTACCTGTGCATATGATCCGCGTTGCTTTTTCTCGAAAATATCGCGAGCATTCTTGTAAACACTTTCCAATGAAACCTTGTTGAGTATCGATGACATTTCGGATGTAACAAACCTACCAATATTTTTCGTCTCTTTACGATTTTCAATCAACTCCATGAAACGGCCGGTTTCAATCACTTTGGCCAGAAATGCTAACGTTGCGTTCAAATATGTCTCCTGCATTCCAATCGAAAAGGCAAAAAAAATTAACAAATTGAAAGATTGCAGTGATTTGTTTCGCTTTATGTGGGATAATAATTATTGGGAAAAAAAAGAGAGCTTACATTCAAGTAGATTTGGTCAACGTTCACCGACAGCAATGTCAATTCGAACGATTTGAATATCACATTTAATAAATCTTCGTTCGATTGATTTGCAAGCTTTTGCTGGATGGCCTGTGTGATGGTTCGTCGTATGAAATTATTTTTGAGCTGTAGTAAATTTTCCAAAATGGTGCGATACCGAAATTTGACCGGATCAAGTTTAGCTACATTCAGTGCAGCAGTCTTGTTATGTGTGGATGTGGTGCTGGCAGTAGTGGAGTTGGATGAAGATGAACCGAATCTTTCGATTGTCAAACCGCCCTTTATCGTTGCTGTTGGTGCGGCGGTGGTTGTTGTGATGGTTGTTGTACGTTTCGGTGCTATTGACGCAAGCGGTGTGGCTGTGCTAACTTTTGTGATTTTTGCAACCGTTTGTTTGTCATTCAACACAATTCGTGGACTCACTATGGTTTGACCGACGATGGTTGGTTTTGATTGGTGGAAATTTGTTGTTACGACCGTATTTGGTGTTTTCAATTGAAATGTTTGCAAACGTTTTGATATCGTTAACGATGATGTTGACGATGACGATGAGGTTGAAGGTACGGCTACTAATTTGTTGATTGTGGATCGTGGATGTGTTTTTATGGGGGCAATTGTCACCGGTTGACTTAATGATTTCGGTTTATTCACCTTTGTTGTAATATAAGCGGGTTTGTTTTGTTGTTGGTGTAGCTGCTGTGGTTGCGTTGTAGACGACGCTGGTTGAATTGTTTGTATAGATTGTACATAAATTAATGTTGGCTGCTGCGAAGAAGCACTTGATCCAATCACTTGAACTGGCTGAACTAACGTAACACTGGGTCTCGTAACTAAACTAACTTTATTTGCAGTTCTTTCCTTGGCGACAGATGGTAGACTCATAATGATTTACGCGAACGTCGTTTTCACATAACATTCGTTTTGTCGATGATTTGTTGTGCCGAATACCTGTGTAAACGAAAATGCACATTGCCAATGCATGGAGAACAACAAAAAAACACGTTTCTGGTTTATTATTTATGTTACAATCGGGAAACGAGAAAAGTGTCGACAAAATGGAAAACAAAAATAATATATCGTCTAGCTCGAAAAATTTGCATCATTTGGTCAACATGAAGATAATCGGGTGATCGAGTGCTAACATTTATCAATATCATTATACTCAAACTGTGGGCTATCCTCTAGGTAACAGGTGATGATGCAGTCGAAACAAAATATACAATTTTTTTTTTCGCTTCCATTCAAGATTAGAATTTTGTTTTTTTTTTTTGGTTTGGTTCTATTCACTACTACGAACTGAGAATTACCTGACACTTCAATTATAAACAATAATTTTTTATTATGATGGTTTATGTGAAAAAACGCATGCCGAAACGCATAAAATGCTTAAATCCGTAGGTTAATTTTAAACAAATACAATGAATTTTTGTTAAACATCACATTGGAATCAACCAGGTAAGACACAAAATACGGAACGACAAACAACACAACACAGCTCGTTCACTTTCTACCTCTCGAATGCGATAAAATATGTCCCAGTGATTATTATTAAGGTTAAACACTACAAAGGGAATGGAACAGACAGAAGAAAAATATGAAAGTATACTCTTTGTTAATGATCGTATTTATTGTTCACTATGTTTCATATCGATGCATTACGGTCAACCCGACCAACATTTTTTTCTTCAAACATTTATGTGGTTTCTAGTTGAAAAAAGACGAAGTAAAGAAAAATGCACGGATAAAATTCACTGAAATTGTCACACAAATTGTTGAATACTAACAACTCGATTAGCCTATCGCGAATTATGTGTCAAACTCGGAAAATGTCAAACACACCAGCAACGCTACTGTGTTTGCTATTTAACTCTTTCAAATGAAACGAATGCAAAAACAATGATGATATTTCAATGGAATGAAATGGCCACAAATTTTATTGATAATAAATTTGAATGAAAATTATCTGGATAAACGAACGCATCATGTTCCGAGAGAAAAAAAAATTACACAATTTTCGACCAAAACTGCTGTGTGTTTCAATGTGATAATATACTGATTGTCAACAACAAAACAAACGCTGCTTCGACTGAACGGGTGATTGCACTTTTTTTTTCCTCGTTCACATACACAAACACGCACTTTGGTGGTGTTCAGCGTTCAGTAGATATTTCAGTTTTACTTTACGATCATTACATGGATTCGTCCAACCAAAAAATGGGTTTGCAAGTGAAAAAAAGGCTGAACGCAAAGACGAAAGTGAACACACAAACAACGAATTTGATCACTAACTTTGTGTAGTGAGATGATGAAAAGGTATGGCCGAAGTGTAATCCATTCTCAGTTACAAAATCATATTAACAATCAATTTGGTTTTAAATTTAAAATCAATCAATTACCGGATGATATTCTATTTGATTGTTTTATTTTTGTTTCGATTTAAACTCTCTGCACTGTTAATTGTGCTCTCAAGAAAACTAAAATAATTCCCAATTGAAACTTGCACTTCTCTCTCTCTCTCTCTCTCTATCTCACTCTCCAAAACAAATACAATTAGTTAGGACTAAACAAAAATTAAATGGAAACTCAAAACGTTTTTACTTCATCGCAATTTTTTTTCTCGGGGAAATGAGACACTTAGAACGAAAAAAATATTCTATTATAATACAGAAACGAAGGAAAAAAAAAAATTTGACTTTCGCACACAACACACGGCGTTTTTTCTTCTTCTCTTTTTCGGCTCTCGGTTGAACGACGGAATAAAACTTGTGTGTGGAATTTAAAATGAAAAGAAAATGCGAACACTTAAAAGACGCATATGATTACACAAAGCGCGTCTTGAAAAGGCGAGACGAGATGGCAAAAAAAAAGTTTGAAAGCAATTCACACGGAGCGAATGAGTGCGTCCGTCTCGAATGAATGTCGACATCAGCATAGCAGTTGACTTTTCAACCAAAACACACGAAATAACAATATTACCGCACGAACTGACAAAAAAACGTACATCTTTTTCTTTCTCTCTTTTGCCGGCAATCGGATATTATTTCAACAAATGTTCCAAAATTGATTTTTCCCCACAAATGAAAAACGAGTTCAACTCAACAAATTGACAGACAAATAAAATTTACAATTTTTTGCGGTATCAATTTTCTACAATTAAATTGCAAAAACACACACCGAAACTTTGAATCGAAGATGCCTTTGCAAGGATTTTCAACAATTTGCCGCCATCACATTTGCAATAGTATTCATATGTCAAGCAGAATTCGCGCGTATTTTTTTCCCCTCACATTCGACCGTATGAAACTTCAAACATTCACGGCTAACTGTGTGTATGTGTGCATTGAGCATAGCATCGTTTTGTATTGGTCTCCACTGGATTTGCGTTATATGAAAAGTCATTGTGCGGTTTTTATTTGTTTTTTTTTTGTACCGCAAACGGCATCGTTCAATGCCCACTACAAATGTGAACCATTTTTTATCGCAGATCGAAATCGCCCGTGAAAATGACGCACTTAAAATTACGAATCATTCGTTTGAAAACATGTTCAATCAGGTTTTGGTCGATTCGATGTATATTTAATTTTTTTTTTTGATTGAAATACTCTTTCATTATGATGCAATATGAAATAGGGGAATATCTAGGTTGTGTTGCTTGTTTATCGAATTTCGAGCTAAATTCATAGATTATACGGATTTGCAGTGGCGTCAACATTACGACCACTGCATTTAATGAAAGTGTCAAATCGTTTTTTTTCCCACCACCATCAGCAAAAACAACAACTACTATCAATAATAAATAAATTTCATTGTGTGACACAATCAACGATTGCAGCACTTTGAACTTCACCACGGACTTTCGTTTTCTGCTCTTCGTATTGAAGTAGTTGAATTAAAACCAAACACAAGTGATATCAGCTTAAGCAACCTTTTGGAATCGCATTTAGTCAATACGAATTTGGACTTGATCCAATTTATTGCATGTGAAATTGATTTGCAAAGAAATGGCCGACAATAGTGTGAAGCCGGCATGTAAGTACGGCATAAAATGCTATCGACAGAATCAAGCGCATAAAGATCAGTTTAGCCATCCACCGAAAGACCGACCAAAGGATGATGATGACGATCGTAGATCGAAAAGTCCACAACCACCGGCCAAAAAGCAAAAGCCATCAACACCATCGCCGCCAGAAAGTGACAGCGATGCTGATGACGAAAAACGTAGCGACGGCGTCAATGAAACGAAAAGCAAAAGTGATGATGAGAATCGCAGTGAAGATGAAGACAAAGAGGGTAGCGAAAATGATGAAGAAGAGGATAGCAAAAGCGAAAAGAACGATGCAGTTGCCGAAATCGAATCCAATAGCAATGGAAGCAATGGCTCGTCGAAGAATGACACTGCCACCGATGAAGCAACAGATGAACCAAGTTCAACGACCGCTGAACCAGTTGGTGTCAGATGTTCAGAGTTTATCAAAGAGAATTTCGATAAAGGACCACATGCACAACGTGCCGAACACAAAAAATTACTTGAATCGCCAGCTGATTTTATCAGCTCAAAATTTTTGGTTAAGATGCCCAATGATTTTTATGCGTTTTGGGAATTTTGCGAAGCCGAATCCAAAAACAATGCAAAACCAGAAGCTCTGTTCAAGAAATTTGGGTTGAGCTTGGTCGGGCCATTCGATGTTTTAGCCAAAAAATTCGACAATGTTGATCCATTCGAACCGGGAGACTATTTACGACACTGGCGCTTTTATTATGACCCACCCGAATTTCAAGTGAGTTGTTTTTGACATGAAAAACTCTTTTTGTTTTTTCTTTCCGTCATTCGCTAGTAATTTTCGTCGTAAATGACGAATTGTTGATGATGACGTACGTCATTGACTTTTCAAAATAGTAAAGATACGATTCTATTTGCTTCAGACATTGTTGGTGAAGGACAAATCTGGTATTCACTATGGCTACTGGCGAGATGAACCAAGTGGCGAGTGCTTGATTGCCCGAAATGATGCCACAAAAAATTGTGAATTCGATTTCATTGCTGATAATATGTTTGGTGCCGTTCTGTAAGTTATCAATTCTAGGGAAACTCAGTCGGTTTCAAATTCGTTTTTCGTTTGCTTGATTTCTAATTGATTCTTTTTCTTCGTATTTTCGATTGATTTTTCCATAGTTATATTCTAGAGAAAGACATCCGGTTGAGTCCATTCAATCGTCCAGCCGCATTGGCATTGAAAAAATCCATCGAAAACTTTGCACACCGTAAACAAATACCACTAAAAACATTCTCGGCCAAGCTTAAGGCACGAAATCTGAAAACGGTTTGTAAAACGTTCCACAAAGCTGGATTAGCAGTTCCATACAATCGCAAAACCGAAGTTGGATACCGACAGCTTGGTGAAAGTGATGGTAAGGTGGAGTTTGGATGAAGAAATGTGGTTTTTACTAGGGTTTTTAGTTTCAATCGACAAAGCCAAGCGTTTTAACTGACGAAAAATAATGAAATAATTTCAGCCAATCTCAAGAAAATCCTCAGCAAATTCACGGAAGCCAAAGGCGATAAAACTCTAATCACAGCTGCAATGGATAAGCTGCAGCCATTGATCACTGCTGCCAACATAGGTAAATCTATATAAATATTCGTAAATGAAATAGAGAGTTTGATTCTCATTTCTTTTTTCTATCCAACAAAGCATGCGATGAAAGTGATTTTGGCACAGCTGTCGAACTTGGAACTGATTTATTCTGCTTTGGTGAACCGGAGCTGCATTCTGATGCTCTGCAGTTACTTGTTACTGGCTACAAATTGGTCAATAAACCGCAATTCATTGCCATAATCAAGGCGCATCTTGAGAATCGTACCAAAGGTTATACAGGTTTATCAATTTTGGATTCGGTTAAACGCTCCGATGTTCCGGATTCAACAAAATAATCGCTTCAAAAGCCTCTGTTTCATAAAACTCAACTTTCAATCATTTGTTATTCATTCTAATATCTCGAAACATGGAAAGTTTCCCTCGGAAACACGTGAGCAAATAAATTTATAAATTTTTCTACCGATGTCCGGTGTTTTAAATTCAATGTTTGTTTTTGTTTCAAATATGTCATTTGTCATGGTTTGACATTTATAGAGGGTGGCGCCCTCTACACCGAAGTGTCATTTTCAATGTATACATGTACTTGAAGCGTTTGTAGAATAAATATGAATTGTCAAAATCTAATACCTCGAAGTGTTTATTTGTTTCAATAATCAAAACTATCTATCTAAATTGAGAAAAGTGCTGAGATTTTTGGCACTTTCGCCCGGAAAACAAAGTTCGAATAAGGAAAATTAACGACAGAACAAAGAAATTGATTGCCTCCTGTGCGAAGAAACACACAGTTAAGTGAAATGAGTTACCGAAGCGGATATAGTGGTGGTGGACCACCGAAGAATTCGGCATCAAATGCAGGCCAAAATTCAAAAGGTTATTCAATGAATGCGGTGCCGCCACCCAGCTCTTTGGGCAATTCAAGATTTGGAAAGTTTCAGAAAGCAGGTAATTTATCGTCATCATCGTCGTCAGGACAAACAACCACTGGACCACCGGCAGCAACTGTATTTAGTGGTGGTCTATCCAAACATGGATATTCAACCATGAATTCAATTGCACAATTTGCCAGTTCATCACAATATGCGCTCGGAAAACGTAAATCCAAAACTGAGGACGAGTAAGCAACCAAACAAACATAATTTCATTTTTCTTGCCTCTCTCACAAAAACACACAAGAAAAACACATTTCACTAAAATTCGATTCTGCCACAAGATATTTTGATGACGATGAGGAAGCAACACCCGATTTGGCATACATTCCAGCACCAGGCAGCCCATCAGCCAATCAATCGAATAAAGTATTTGCGAAGTTTTTTGCTGCATTAATTCGCAATGGTTATTAATGGTCGATTTCGTTTGTTTTTGTTTTTTTTTTGTAGAGTGAGTCAGATTCGGATGACGAAGATCCATTGGACGCGTATATGATGGGCATTGAGAAACATTTGGAAAAAGAGAAAACAAAACCACCCAGTGAAACGCAAGTAAGCATCGTGGTCAAAGCCAACAAAGGAACACGTGGAGACATCGATGATGAAGATGATGAAGAGAGCTATTACCGGTAGAAACAAATTGAATCATTATTTTCCTTCGAATCCATTGAAAGACTAAGGATTTTGTGTTTCGAATCAGATACATGGAAGAAAATCCAATGGCTGGCGTGGTCGATGATTCATCAGACGTTGAAGTTGAGTACGATGAAGATGGAAATCCGATAGCACCACCAAGGAAGCGTGAAATAGATCCATTGCCGCCGATCGATCACGATGACATTTCGTATAAGCCGTTCGAGAAGAACTTTTACACGCCACACGACGACATCAACAGTTTGACACGAAGTCAGGTGGATGAGTTGAGGCAACATTTAAAAATTCGCGTTTCAGGCCCAGTACCACCACGACCGGTGGCTTCGTTTGCTCATTTTGGTTTCGATGATAGTCTCATAAAGGTAAGTCAATTTTTTTCTGTGTGAAATTCAATTCATTTTTCCTGAAGCCCGTTTGATTCGATTCCATTTGAATTGTGATTTTTCTATTTACCAAAAGGTCATTCGCAAGTTAGAATATACACAGCCAACGCCAATTCAGTCGCAAGCTGTGCCAACGGCGTTAGGTGGTCGCGATATAATTGGTATTGCAAAAACGGGAAGTGGTAAAACCGCAGCATTCGTATGGCCGATGCTAGTTCACATAATGGATCAACCGGAATTACAAACCGGTGACGGTCCAATCGCTCTCATTTTAGCCCCAACCCGTGAACTTTCACTTCAAATCTACAATGAAGCGAAAAAGTTCGGCAAAGTCTACAACATGAATGTTGTGTGCTGCTATGGTGGCGGTTCGAAATGGGAACAAAGCAAAGCACTTGAACAAGGTGCCGAAATTATTGTAGCAACACCTGGCCGAATGATTGACATGGTTAAAATGAAAGCAACCAATTTACAACGTGTCACATATTTGGTGCTCGACGAAGCTGATAAGATGTTGAACATGGGATTTGGTAAAATTCAAATTTTTTTCCAAAATTTGTTCCAATTTTGATTAAATTATTCCCATTTGTTTTCATACAGAACCACAGGTTCGATCAATCTGCAACCACGTGCGTCCCGACCGACAAACGCTTCTATTCAGTGCCACATTTAAAAAGCGAATTGAAAAATTGGCCCGTGAAATCCTGACCGATCCGGTGAAAATCGTGCAGGGTGACGTTGGCGAGGCAAATGAAGATGTTACCCAAATAATGACGGTGTTCAAAAATCCCGCACAAAAATGGAATTGGTTGCTAAGCAAATTAGTCGACTTCCTATCGCAGGGCAGTGTATTGATATTTGTGACCAAAAAAGCGGATGCCGAACAAGTGGCCAGCAGTTTACAAGTGCAAGAAAACGATGTGCTACTGTTACACGGTGATATCGATCAATCGGAACGTAATAAAGTCATAACGAAATTCAAGAAACGTGAAGTAGACATTTTGGTGGCAACCGATGTGGCGGCCCGTGGTTTGGATATTCCACACATTCGAACGGTTGTCAATTATGATGTTGCTCGTGACATTGACACGCATACACATCGTATCGGTCGAACAGGTCGAGCTGGTGAGAAGGGAACGGCATACACACTGGTCACCGAGAAAGATAAAGAATTTGCCGGTCATTTGGTGAGAAATTTGGAGGGTGCCAATCAAGAGGTACCCGATGATTTACTTGAGCTTGCCATGCAAAGCTCCTGGTTTCGTAGTTCACGTTTTAAGAGTGGCAAAGCCAAATCACTCAACTATGCGGGCCTAGGCTACAAAGATCGATCCGGTGTGGGCGCATCGAAATCAGGTCAACCAAGTGGAAATACAATCACAAGCACATCATATCTATCACAATCGTCAAGCTCTTCAAATCATCGGTCGTCTTCGGGACCGGCCACAAATCGTTTTGCTGCCATGAGAGAAGCCTTCCGCAGCCAGTACACTTCGCAGGTAACAACATGATTTCCGTTTTTATTTGATAAATAAATAAACGAACGGAAGAAATTCTAAAATTGTATGTTTATCAACAGTTCCGTGCATCATCTGATCGAACGTGGGAAGAGACTGTTCCTGAGAAAGGTGTATTCGCAGCGCCGCCCATGCCAAGTCAAAATAAACCTTCTTCAGATTCAGACAATTCGAAAAAATCGGGCAAAAGAAGCCGATGGAACTGAAATAACAACGATTTGTTTACAACCCAGAATCAATTGAATCCCATAACTCTTCACAATTTACTGAAATTAAATTAATCATGATGTAATCTTAAATCTTTTCATTTCTGTCTTTGTTGACTGACGTCTTTGATGAAAATATCAGTTTTAATGTGTCGTTTTAGCCAAACAACATCATTTTTCTTTCCTTTAACCTCTCCTTGAAAAACAAACAAGACATCTATGTACGTAACATTTATTTAGTTTAAAATCTAGTATAAAAAAAGAACAGCGAATATACTCAAGAATTTTTCTTTTGCTAAACAACAAAGAACCTACACATACAATTTCATGATAATTAGCTCTTTGGAACGTTCATAATCAAAATACTGCGGGAAATCGATATCGACCGGCTCCAGTTTCCAATCAATGGTTTTCCGAGCTTCGTTGATACGCTGCAAAAAGTATTCGTAGCATGGTGCCATCGTATCTAAATCGGCCAACGTAAAGACGTAGCGTTTCTCAAGTGCTATATACACCACTTTATCTTTCGATCGGTTTAGGTCATTCACGTTGAGGATGCGCTCGAGAGTTTCCACAAAACCATCGGTGATTGAATTGTCATAGATGACTGAAATGGGAGAAAGTTGAAATCTTTGTAGGCTCAAAATCAGTTCAATATTTTCAAAGGGAGAAGTTGAGTTCACAATTCGGTTTTTACAAAATTTTCAATTACCGTCTGCCGCAATGATGATATTCGATTTTAAAACGGCATTCTTAAGATCATCTGACCAAATGCTCTTCTTAAAATCCAATTCCATCACCTTCACTTTGGCCTGATTGTTGATTAAGCGTTTGTTTAGTTCCACATTTGATTTAACCACATTCAGAATTCCGCCCAAGTCAATGTCGGTGCACACAATGTCAGTCTTAGAGAAAATACCCGCTGCAATGCTCGTCAATCCAACGCCTGATCCAAGCTCTAGAATGTGCTTACTTTCGAATTTCCAGCGATTGTGCAACAGAAAGTCAGCTAAGAGCAATGCACCACGCCACACCTGCAGCCCTACCAATAATAAATTCGTCGATTGCTGATGTTCGATTTGTATCACCTCACGTCGTCTACGCTCCACTATTAAATCACCGTCAGCATCAATAATAGACTGTTTCAAGCTATCCTTTACCTCGCCATCATCCGAATGGTCAACCGGGTAGACAAATGAAAAATGTGATATCGTCGCTGGAACAAGATCAATCAATCATTTTGGGTCCGATTTAATCACTAATCATTTTGGATATGATTTTATTCAATTTGGGTCGGAATTTGTCAGACCAATGAAAGAAATCGCTCAATATACTCACTGCCATTTTTAGTTTTTGAACTGCGAAAATTCGTTTCCGTATAGATTTCCGATGTCACTTCAAGGCACCCGTTTTCACCCATTAAATTTGCTTTTTTCTTCTTCTGTACGCTGAACGGTTTCTTTCGCTTTTTTCCAACTCGTCTGGAAGTCGTTTTCTTGCACTATAACAAAAATCAAAACAAAATTGAGTGCATTTCAGATGATCAATTCAAATATTCAAATTATTGCAGTTTTCAAAACTGAAATCCAACGATTAAAGTCATCTAATTAAAAAGATTGTCTAATTTAATTTTCCTAATTTCAATATTTCCCACAAAAAAGATACCTTTTACCTATTTCTAAATCCGAACAAGGTTCATAACGACAAAAAAGTGACTTTTCAAATCTAGTTCCGTTTTGCAAATGGTTCAACTGTGGTGATACTATCGTTTCGTTTTAATCGAATACAAAACAGTTCACGCTTTTGACTACTCACTGTACTCCTTGAACTAGATCTAATTGTATTGCATTGTAATCGTGCATCATTTTAGCAACACGCTCAGTTCTCGGAATCTTCTAATGCAAACGAATGGCCGCAAAAAACAGCCAAAATATTTATTTTAAAATTTTATACAAAGGAATAATATAGTCTGGCTTGCCGAATGTTCGTTAGTCGAATTGAAAATAATAATCAATGTCATACAAAAGCCTATACACGAAATCATATGATCGCCCGTTCGATCGTGCTCGTGCGTCCGACAGCGGTTGCAAACTGTTGCATTTTGCATTTTTCGATGCCGTGTATGCATTTGATGTGGTTTCACTTTCTCATCATCTTTCGATCAACTTAATTAGGTGAAAATATTTTGTCACACATGAAATGAGCGGAGTGTTTCAAACATGTTTCCGCTCAAGTGCCGAAAACAAATGAGCATTTTGAGATACATAGCATGAGCATAAGACAGAAACATGCCGTAGTTTTGTATGTTTTGGCAATGGATACGGTCAAAAATCGAAGGCAAACAATGCCAATTGCATTATTAATGACTTTGAATGCGTTCATGTGCAGCTCGATTTGCAACCGCATTCAATTTGCAATTTAAAAATAATTTAAGTGTAAACACGAAATAATCACAAACCAAACAGAGATTGTGTGTTGTAGCGTACTTTTGTTTGGCTGGTACCATGTGTCGAATCCATTTCTCTTTGCTGTTGTGTTCGAGGCAAAACTAGGGCGCGCGCGCGCCTGTTCATTCGATGATATGCAATTTGGCGCACGTTTACATTTTGGTTGGAATGCAACAACTAAATTGGACTTTTGTTCAAAACTGTCATTCATTGGACCATTTCTTGAACAGCAACAACAACAAAACAAAACATCAGTCGTCAAAATGCATTGCACATGTGATTCCATCTAGTGAAAAATAGTCGCTTCGAATTCGAATGTATTTTTAGACGAACTGAACAACGAATTTTAGCCAGTCATCACAATGAAAACGGTGTCCTCGTGAGAGCAAAATAGGTTTCCTGAAACATTTTCTGCTATTTTAAAATTTAAATGGGAAGAAGAAGTCAAAATAAAAAAAAAGCCGTTGAATAGTTTCTAGTAGTTGTTTTTTTTTATTGATTTTTCATAAAAACTGATTGTTTAAATAAAACTTTGTTTATGCAAATGCTTTTTACATTAAAGACTATGGCTTGAATCCGTTTGTTTATTTGTTCAAGTGGTTTTTTTTTCATAATAAATTTCATGGTTTTGTTTTTCTTGTTGTTGTTCTTTTCCTTTTAGATAGAATATCTTTTTTTCGTTTTTTTTTTTTGCTAAATATTTTCTAAGTTTGGGTTTTTTTTTCTCAATTAAAATCGAATATGAATTGCTCTGAAATGCCACTTTAGTAATGACGTTAAATCGTTGATTGCTAAATTGCCAAATTAATTTACTTTCACTGTTTTTTTTTTTCTTCATTTTTTTTTGTTTCCTCCTCTGAATTGCTACAGATGAAAATTAGTTTGATCGTATTCAAGGTAGAAAAAGGAAAAACAGTATAGAAAAGAAAAGAATGAAAGATGAACAATGTGTTCGTCTTGCATTTGTTGCTGCCAAAATATGTGTATGTGTATTCAGCATTGTGCCGCTGTGTTGCTTTTCGTAAATTTTACATTTGGACAACACTGTCACGTCGTGTGTGATCGTACACAAATATCTTTGATTCCAATGGGTTTTTTTTTCTTCTTTGTTCTTTGTTTTTCGTTTGTTTTCAGCGAATCCTTAAAATTTCACTAAAATTATATTTACAGAGTATTTTTCTTGTATGTGTATTTAATTTTTTTGTCTTCATACTATTTTGTTTCATGATTTCTTCTTTTTTCTTTCATTTAATTTCCTCTTATTTAAAGCACTTTTTCTTTCTGTGTATGTTTTTTTTATCGTGCCAAAAAAAATTCCATCAAAATTCATTGCAACGATGTGCGCGCGCGCGACATGCAGTTGTAGAGAAAGAAAAAAGTGTAATCAATCAACAAGGCATGCGCACGAGCGTAAATTCAATCAAAGGACGTGAAACTAGTTTGCGTTTGTGTATGTTCTCTGGAGGTTAATTCGAATGGGATTTCATTCTAAAAAAAAAAACAACAATCAAAATGAAGATCAAATTCGGAGAGCCAACTTTATATCGCGCAATGTCATCATAATTATTTCGTGTTCTGTTCGTTTATTGCAAATGATTATGATACTGCTAAACTACTTTCTCATTCGTGTCATATGTGGCATAGGTGGCGCACACTCTGGCTGGTGCGTCCCGTCCAATAAACAACGATATTCGCAATATTTTCCCTTTTTTTTATTAGGATTATAGTTTTTTTTTTGTTTCTGTTTTGTTTTAGTTCGGTTGCGTCCGTAAATCGGTAATACTTTGTCAACAACAATCAATTGGCTGGTGTGTAGTGTAAACCGACATACATAGATAGATAGAGAGATAGTGATAGAATGGTGTGCTGGCTAATGGCCACATCCACAATTTTAATGGGCATCGGCAATTGTATCAGCCACATTCAAGTCTATCGATAATGCAGATGAACGGCGCGTTTTCTTACTGCTGCTATGTTCCATTGACGATTTTAGCGTCGTTGACGTTCGCTTCTGGTTGCTGCTGGCTCGTTTGATATCGGTTCCATTATTATTTTTACTATTCTTAGAATACACTTCATTTTCATCATCACTTGATGACGTCAAGTCTTCTTCATCATCATCATCCGACGTTTCATTACTGCTATTGTCACCTCCACCGCCATTCCCATTTCCACTTTTGATACTTCGACTACTGTGGCGTAAGATTCGTTGCTCCGGCATATTGGAATCGGTTACATCGTCTATATTTCGGGTGCCATTTGAATAGTTCTCGCTATTGTCCAAATCACTGGTGTTACTTCTTACTTCCTCTTTGCAGTCATGACCTGAGGGAACCGAACCAACATTTATATACGTGAATACATTTTCATTTTTTTTTAATCGACAATGACACAATGACAGTATCACAGTATTTTTTTTTCTGTATCACCTACCATTATTACTACAGGCACAATTGTTGCCACTTGCGCTACCACCGTTACCGTTCTTCAACAAAAAATTCTCTCGCTCCAGATTGGTAATTGTTTCTTTGGCTAATTTTAATTCTTGCTGCAAGAACAATATTGTACTCTGCATGCCTTCGACATCTTCGTCCAGCTCTTGTAGAAAATCGTCCAATTCTGAAACGATTCGAATGAGTTTGAATATGAATTCCGCTCATATTTTCAAGTGGAAAGTGCTTGACTAACCAAAGACTTGGTAGGTTGAAAAAAAAGAAACACATACCTGATTGTGACTTCTTAACTTCTTCGCTAAAGCTTTTCTGTAATGCCAAATCGCCTTCCAATTTGGCAAGGCGTCCGTTTGATGTCATCTTACCCAATTCTTCATTTTCTTGGTATAGCAGACGGCACTTGGCCATAAGTCTTTTGCCTGTATTTGAGTCCGGTGTGAATTTCCACGCCGATAATTCGTTTTGTGTGTCCTCGAGCCGAGCTTTAGTCGCCTGTAGTTCGGCTTTTAGCTTTTGAAATAGAATATTCACTGCTGGATCGAGCAAAACTGAACGAAGTGAGGCCATTGTTGGAGCTTGTGAAGCTTTCAATTCAGCATTTTGATTCTGAAAGACAAGGCGATAAAATTAATTCACATGATTCATTTCCAAATAAATGATGAGCTAACAATTTTCAGGGTTTTTATATGTCTTCGAAAAAAAAACCTAATTTGGCTAAAACTTACAATGTATTCTTGCATCTCTTGCTCCTTAGCTGCCAGTCGACGAATCAACATTTTTTCACGTTTCTGTGCCTCAATATGTTGCTGTTTATACCTTGATTCCGATTCCTTCACATTTTGAAGTTCCTCTGTTCGTTAACAACAACGAAAGAAAAAGAAACAATAGAAACAAAATGGTATGGGAAAATGTTATTAAAAAAAAAAAAATCGGGCATAAATCTTGGATAGAAAAATTTAAGTTGAAGAATAGATCAAAAGAGAATTAAAATAGGGGCCCAATGAAAGACCATTCAATAGATGTTAACACTTAATCGATATATTTTTCAAGTGTTAATATCTTCGATAAGGTTTTCGGTTGTTTTTTGTTTTGTATTTACAGCAAAAATTGGAATTGCCGCTTGATGTTGCCAAAGAATTGGGTATGAATTCTTGTCTATTTCTTTCGTTTCGACCAACACCAAATAAAACCCGGTGACATCTTATTTGCACCGGTTACATCATTCATATTGCAATTATTCATTTAATTTTTTTCTCTTCTCTTTTTTTTGGTACTAGTTTCAGTGTTTGATTTTTAAATTGATTTGTTTTAGATTTGAACATTTAAGCATACCAAGTGCCGTTAGGTAAAACTGTGTGTTTTGTGCAGAAAATGCAGAGTTTGACTGATACGTGTATTAACGTGTGTACGTCGCTTTAGGGTATATATTTTGGTCGTATGTGTGTGATTATTGGTCATCAAAAAGCAATTGTAAACGTACGCCTATTTTGCATCGGTTTTGTTCGTTTTTTTTTTTCTCGTGATTTTATCGTATAAATGTTTAGTATATTTTGTTCGGCACATTTACAATATCACACATGCAACATCCAACAATTTTTCATTTTTCTTTCTTTCTTTCTTTTTTTTTCTTTCTTTTTTGCACAGTGGATGGCATGTAGCAATGTTTAACGCGTGTGAAATATTCGTGGTATAATAAATAGTTAATTTGTCGTCGTTTAGATTTTTTTTTAGTTTTTGTTTGTGTCGTTTTTTTCCATACTTTTTTTTTGCTTCTCGTTACAAATGGAAACACTATAAAATAGCACTCACTTTAATTCTCTGTTAAATTGTTGTCTTCTCGAACAAAATTAATAGTATTTATGAACACACACAGTGTTTTTTTTCTTTGCTTTTGTTTGAATTGTTGTTGTTTTTTTCTGTTAAAGAAACGCAACCGAATTAGCTTAGATGCAATTCATATTCAGGTTGCTGCTATTGTGAACGGAGTGCACTAAAAATAACAATAGAAACGATGGCGCTTGTGTTGTTTTTAAAACCGATTTTATGTTATTAATAAATTTTGAGGTAGCACGAGCGCACAACTCGTTCCATCTTCTATCGTTTGACGAGGGACAAACATTTATAGGCAATTTTCAAATAAATCATTATCACATTTGACAAATACATTTTTTTTTCTATTATTATTCTCTTTTTTTGCCTGCAATAACGTCCTAACATAGAGCGCAAGAATAAAAAAAAAACAATCACCCGATATTTGATATCAAAAATACACTTGAAAATCATACATATGAAAATCAAAACTAAACAACTAAAATTTTAATTATAAAAAAAAATATTTAGGTATAAAATCACATCACATGCTACCGACATTTTCTTTCGTCACAGCACTATTTTGCTCTATTTTTTTTTGCTTTCTTTTGTTTGTTTCTTTACCTTTTAAATTGGCACACTTTTCTTTTCCGAAACGAAATTAAATTATATATTTAGTATTAGCACGAATATTTCGCGGCATGTACACTACAATAGCTGGATGAAAATTGGCGTGCCTACAGTCGACTTTTGACGAGATACAAATCAGAGATCAATCATTTTCTTCTCTCTTTCTACGAAAAAATGAACGCACAACGGTTTCGATGAGCCGATGTCGGAGAGATCAGATGATAATATATATATATATATATATATGGAAAATTTCGTGGAAATCGTTTCGATAAATCAAAAACTTCAGCGCACGAACACACATTCAAAGTTTTCACAAACTTTTCACACTGACTGCCCGATCAAATTCGTTTCTGTTTCCTCTTTTCGTTCAAAGATTATCTTTTCTTTCTTTTTTCATTCAAAGATTCTTTTTTTTCATGTGATGAATAAAATAATTTCTTTTTTTTTCGATTAAAAATAAATTGAATTTGATTGATAAACATTTGCTTGACGCCACCCACAACCACGATCAAACTAAATATTTTCGGTTTTTTCTCTCTCTCTCTTTTCAAATGGTACTTTCAAGTGTACAATATATATGTTTGTTGCTGTTGTTGTTTTTGTTTCTTTTGCTAGCATTGTTTTAATCGAACAAATAATGCATTCAGTACAATAAACTTGCACATTTTCTCTCTTTATGAGTCGTCGTCAACCGATTTGCATTGTTTTGTTTTTGCTTGCTGTCGATCGGTTTAACAAATGTATCATCGAGGCTAATAAAAATCACTAAATCAAAACGAATTCCGATTGGGGGAGTTGAATTTGTGTTATTAAAGTCTCCCCTCGAAAATGAATGTAAAAAAAAATCAATAACAAGATATCATCTAAATGAAATGAATCTAGGTTGAGTAGATTTAAAACAAAACTTATGACGAACCACGCACACGCTACTGTTTTTTTTTTCTGCGAAAATTTGTTATTCTTTTTGTTTTTGGTGTTAATAAAGTCGCTGAGTTTCTGTTTCTGCAGTGTTAGAACACTCGATCAACCACATGTTGGTTATTCATTTTCGGAAAAAATTGTTATTTTTCTTTTCTTTTTCTTTCTTTAAATTGTATATTTGTTTTCATGTTTTTTTTTCTTTTTGGTTTTGGTTTGTGTGTGTGTTTTGCTTTTTGTTTTTTTTTGTTTTTTTTTTTTCTCAATTAGTACCTTCCACAACTCGATACTGCTCAGATGATTCTCCGACGATATTATTTTCATTCGACGGTGTTGTTGTAGTCGTTGGTGTCGTTGGTGATGGAAGAACTGTTGCGTCTGGTAGCTGATGCTGCGATTGTTGTGACTGGGCTTGAGCATTAATGCCCTCATCAGTCAATATTGTGTTCATAGTATCGGGCTTATCTTAGTTACTGTTCGCTATTTGTTTTGTCCACTCTCGTAATTCGGTCGTCGGTTGGATTGAATGTCATTTAAAATGACTCAATATTTATCAACGGTTTCAAATTGTCTTCGATTCAGGACCAAACAAACAAAAAATTTGTTCAAAAAAAATGTTCCACTATGTAGGTCCAAAATGCTCTCGATTTCTGTCTTGATTCTCTTCCAGTCTTTCGGCCAAATAGAAACTTATTTCATTATCATTTGTATGTGTGTCTGTGTCCGTGATTATCGCTGCACATTCAACACTAAAACATCCACTGTTCTGTTATGAAAACTAAAAAAAAAAAAAATAGAACAAAAACCAAAATTAATATCCCAAAAAAGCCAATCAATCACCACAAGGGAATTTGTGTCAATATTTTTAAAATCACAAAGCCAAACTCAATGGGAGTAGACAAATGTGCTGTACACAATATTTATCGATCTATATCGTATTCAATTTGGCCTCAATCAAGTCACAATTTTACTCTTTTTCCCCCCCGATGACTCTATAATCTCGTTGGACCATCTACTACACCTGCATATTTGTTATTCTTGTGTGTGTTTGCTGTTGTTGTATGTTTTTTTCACTGTGTCATTTCATGTAATGATGCAAAGTGCATCAGCAGCCCATACCATCTATTTTAGATCCAATCAAAAGTATACATTAATTACGCACATTTGCAACGAAAATGTATGTTGATGTTCATGTCCTTAAAATAGGTTAGATTTATCGATTGTCAACAAACAAATATCAACGAAGCAAAACCACTACAGTCAAATTATTTCTGACTGAGAGAGTCACAACCATGTGTATGTGTCAATACGAATGCGAAAAAAAAAAATTGCTACCGAAATTCATGATTGAACGAGTGGATTACTTTCGATGTGAGAGTGATATTGTCATGAATGTGTTTTTGGTTTGTGTTTGGCAAACTATGGAGTCAATATCCGTGGAATCAAAAGCGCGAACAAATGAGGGAAATCAGTAATTAATGCTTTGATTATCAAATGTCCTGTTTTTCACATACGTATGTAAATCGTCCATATTGCTGCTGAAAGGTGTTGAACGAGCAAGACAGTGCATTGAATGTTTGGCACTCGATATCACACCAAATCAAAAACTCAAATCTCATCCACTGAACATTGAACGAAACATTTGGAAAAATTGTCAATTTTCAATATCATTTGACTAAATGCGAGTAACTTGTAGTGAATGCGATTGAATTTATTCTACAAATTAAAAAAAAAAGCACGTACGCACACAAACACTAACTTATACAACAACACCAACAACAACAACAACAACCAAAAAAAGCACTTTACCTATAGTTTTTCACCATAAATTCGATTGACTACCAAAAATTTAATCCACTATTATTTTCGATTGTCTATTCAACAAATCATTCGGCCACCGGAATCGTGTGGACGTTGCAATGCAATTATCAAATCAATGTTTTTAGCTGGCGGCAAATGCGAATTTCGTTCCGTAAGTTCGATTGTGTGCCGATTTAACACCAAAAAAATAATATATATATCTGCGTTTATGCTCCCGTTTGAATGTTTAGTCTTGAATATGGAGCCGATTCGAGAGAGAAAAGCAAAATGGTGACCGAAACGTTCAAGTCAACGACGTCTACAATCACGGCCAATTCAAATCGATGGCGAATTCACATTTTGGACAAATATACCACTAGAATGAAGGTTTTATGTCGTATTACGTTGATTTTCTCCATAAATAAATTCTGCATAAACTATAATATGTTGAATTAATTGAATAATTTTAATGAAATGTAATAAAAGGGGAAAAAACCATCTAAAACTCCATATGAATCGTTTTAACTCATCGCATACTTGGTATGGCCATTGTACGGAAGATGGCGTCCGCAGTCATGATGAACGTGGCGAATTGCCATTGACATTAGATTCAATCGATGTCATATTCAAATTGGGTTACATTCGAATATGATTTACGGTTATCATGGAAACGATTCCAAATGACAAACAAACCCATGACATTCCATGTAAACAAATTAATGCTTTCAAAACTGATACGGATCGATGGACGAGTGATGTGATGATATTCGGTTGTTGTTTTTTTCTTTGGTGGAAATGGATTTCGATTTAGACGATCCGTTGGGTGATTTATTGAGTGATGGTAGTAATGATAGCTTTTTTGGTACATCGAAGAAGAAAACAAACAACGCAAAACTTTCAACGCAAACCACAAGCGATACGAAAGCCAAATCAAAAGTAGCCGATCTATTTGGAATTGAAAGTGAAGATCCGATAAAATCAACTGAAATCACATCGACAAAACCAAATCCGAATTTTGGAGCGGCATCGAAAAAACCACTTCCGAGTACCGCGACGAAAAAGACTGAAGAAAGTGTGTTAAATTCGCCTGTGAATCTGCGACAATCAATCAAACGTTCGACACCCGAACGAAACGTACAACCAGCTAGTGTTATACCGATCGATACACCAAAAAAGGTTGCCAATGTGCAAAGTAAACCGAAGAAGACGCAATTCGATGATTCGGACAATTTTTTAAATGAGCTCGGTTTCGATCCGAAAAATCCGCGAGGAAACATTGGAAGTACGAAAAAATCCAATATTCTCGATGACATTCTGAATTTCAATCGAAATGAACCACCAGCTGTTAAATCGGCACCTTCTGCACCGAAACCAACACCAAGTGATACGGCGGACAGAAGAGGTCCCCGATCGGCTGAGACAAATCCAGGTGCTAACCGCTATTCACCATCATCCAGACGACCAAGAAATCTTCCACGATCTGGATCGGGTGGCTCCGATGCTGACCCTTTGGGTTTATTCACATCACCGCCAAAACAAACGCAGGAGACTAAGAAGGTGGAAAGTGTCAATGCACCTTCAGCTAGACCAAAGCTTTCAAAGAAACCAACCGTTGATTGGCTTGGTTTGGACGCGGATGATGATGTAAAACCAGATGAAATAACCTCAGTCGTGGCATCAGAAGCGATTAAACCCAAAACTGAACCGATACAACCTCAATATCCAGTCGTGAATACAACCAACACAGTTCCACCTGCACCTATTGCTTCGACAGTTCAGCCATTGCCAATAAATTCGCCGATTATTGCTGCTGCAACGACAGCCGATACCATTTCGGCCAATCTCAATATGATTAACATGGCTTCATTGGATAAGGAGCAGGCATTACATTCTCTGCAGCAACAGGAAACGCAGCTACGCATCGCAGCCCAAATGAAGCAACAGGAAGGTATGCTACAGGATATGCAGATGAAACAACAGAATTTAATCAAACAACAGGAAAATCAATTCAATGATTTACTTCGACGCCAAATCGATCGACAAAATCAATTGGAAACGCAGATTCACCGACAACAGGAGCAAATCAATGCATACATCAATGTGTTGATGAATCAACCAAGCATCGGTATGATAACACCAGCAAAAATGGCCACTGGTAATGACAACGATATCGAATCTCGTCAGAGCGATGATGAAGTCTCGCGACCGAATGTTATTGAATTGGAAGCGGATGTAAAACGATTAGAGCTTGAAAAGCTGCGCCTTGAAGACATTCTACAAAGCGTTCAAACTTCACACGATCGGGAACTGGAACTATTGCATTTGAGTCACAAGTGAGTTAATTCATTTATATTAAAATGATGATCATTGAATCGATTTGTTATGAAAATGTGAATAGTCTAGATTAGATAGATTGGAAAAATTGAAAATTTAAATCGATTTGAATACGATTTCCAATAGGAAACAAATTGCTCTGCTCGAAGAAAGTTTGGAAAGTTTAGAGAAGCGTCTGCGTGAAGAGATAAAATCAACCGAAGCCTATCATTTAAGCAAGATTTCCGCTCTCCAAGCGGATATGGAGAGTCAACAGCAAAAATACGAAGAAAATATTGAAAAATTGATGGGCGACTATGAAAAACAGGTTGAAAAACTACGACTCGGCTATGAACAAGACTTGGAAGCACTGAAAAACGATCAGCGATCGACGATAGAAAATATTCGCCAAGCCAAATTATACGAATTTGCAACACTACAGGAATGTGGCTCATATTTGAGCACACTGAAAAGTGCCTCCGACAATTTAGAGCATGCCACCGGCAACTTGGAATCGATGCGCACCAACATCACCACAACCATTGAACGAATTCATGCCGAACGAGAAGTGCAATTGAATGCCAAAGAACAACGTTTGAATGGTAAGTGCTTTTGAATATTGAAAATTTATGAAATTTCCTATGGTTTACTAAGTTTCATATAAAATCGTATTCATTTGAATCTAATAATTGAAATTGTTTTGTTTTTCATTTCCAATTATTCTCTCTTATTTAAGAGCAACAAAAAAGTATCGAAAAAACAATTGAAAAAACCGAAGAGGAACGAACTCACTTGATTGAATTGGTCAAAAGTCTGGAGATAAAATTGAATTCGGTTGAACAAAGTTCAACGGAGGAGCAATGGAGTCTGCGACAAAAATCGGCCGCGCTCGAAGCGGAAAAAGTCTCTTTTGAACGAGAGAAAACATTTACGCGAGAGAAAATGGCCGCTGAAGAGAAAAGAGTTCAGGTAAAACACCCTACGCTCATTATCTCTTGGACTTTTTTTTTACTAATTTTTTTTCAATTTTACATACTTTTTCATTGTTTTTACTTCTTCATCGTTTTCCAAAATGTTGTGGAAAAAAATCTGTTTTCTTTTTCTTCTGAGCAGGAGTTGAAAGAAATGCAATACACTGAACACAAGCGTCTCATGGAAATTCTGGATGCAGAACGTGAGAAAATATTGGTTGAAAAGGCGAAGTTAGAAACCATGGAACGCCTGAAAACACCATCAAATACGTCAACGAAACGGCAAAGTGAACTCGATGCCGCCATAAAAATCGCACAGGTAATTGCATGGTTTCATTCAAAATGATAACAAATTCATTGAATTTGATGTTTAACATTCAATCGTTTGCAAAAAGGATGCGGCAAAGAGTGCTGATATCGAACGGGAAAATTTCATCGAGCAACAACGAAAGCATGAACAGAAGAGACGTGAACTCATGGAAATGGAGAGCATGCTTCAAGCTCAGCAAAGCGAGTTAGAGCTGAGAATCAGTCAAGCAAAAGATCAGAAGGTAAAAAGTTGGCCATCAAACAGTTATTTTACTGATAATAATCTGCTTCTGTTGTATTGTTCCTCCTACACCTGAAATGGGATGTTCTTGTTCACACTTCGTTTAAAAACTGACTAAAAATTCATATTTCTTCTATTATTAGCAAGTAGCCGAGCATGCAACCAAAACGTGTAAATCCCTTGAGCAAAAATTGTTGACGAAGCTCCAAAGCCTGCAGGAAAATTACATGGAGCTAACCGAACGTGAGGCAAAATTGTCGCAGGCCAAAATGGAACTAAGCAAAGAGCGAATGGAATTACAGCATCTTCGACAGCAGTTGCGTCAATCAAAGTGCAGTTTGTGTCGCATTGGTGTAAAGAATACCGAAATTTCCGAATTGGATCCATTGAATGATATCAGTGCAAATGATGGGCCCTTAACGAAATTCGATTTCTTTACGTCAAATTCATTTGATGGCCTGCAACAGCGTCTATCAAATGTCGAAGCAATGATTGATGATGTCATTATAAACGTTCCACAATCGCCGAAACATCGAAATCTGTATCGCATCAATCAAAATGACAATTCATCAAGTGCAAATTTACTATCGAAAACCATAATCGATCCATTTTAATTGGATATCATGGACAGCTTCCAATAGATATAAACGACCATTTTTATGAGAATCGGTCCATGGGGAGTATTAATACCAATCATTTCAAATGAAGTAGTCATGCGATTTAATCATTAGGAAAACAACGTTTTGAGTAGTTTAAGCAGAATAAATTGAATTCCTTTTCCTTTTTTGTTACACCAATACACAAAACTTACCTTTTTCGTTATATTTGTTGCATTATATCTCTTTTTTAACTCAATTATTCGTGTGTTTTTCCTTTAAAAAGACGAAATATTCCCCTTTGTCATGCGTTATTTAATAATAATATCAATTGCCATTTACATTTATTGTCAACTTTGTTGCGTTACAACTGTTTTAAATAAATTAAATTCCATTTCATTTATTGTATCCTATGAGAATAAGTCTTTAAATTATCAGTAAATTTTGATTTAAATTACGTTAATATTTGCAATCGTAGTGTGTTTTGAGGTGATTTTTGACACAAGTAAACAAAAAAAAACACTGCTCCATGTGTTTGTATCACTTAAAAATATTCATTTGTTCAACTATAAATGGAATACTGCTAATTCAACCTAAATCATAAATAAAAACTTATGTATTCATTGTAGACTTATGTAGTGTCTTTCTCTATGCTTTAGACTATGAAATAAATTTGAAAAATTCATAAAATAGTTCAGAATCCAAACTAATTTAAGCTTATAATTTATTTCTCAGTCAAATATCAAATGCCGTTTTCATTAATTAGTGTATGAGCTACTCGATTTCGATCGTATCGAATGATTTGTGGTACAAAGTGCGTCCACGAAATGAATCTTTCTTCAATCCAAATCCAAACAATTGATATTGCTCCAAACGTCAAGATCATCGAGTATTTCAACAGAAACACCGAGAAGAGTGGCTTAGATCCGGTTTCGTTGCATGGGCAAGTAAAATCCGTCATCCATACGTCGTAAAAACTGATTTCGTACAATTGACAACCGATGACAATTGAAGCTGGAACAATGTACACAACACCGACCATACCTATATGGATTAATCGCTTTGTTGTTGGTTTGATCGTCGACACCTGATGTGCTAGCAATAATTCTCTCTGTTGCTTATTCACCGATTGGATGTGGTGTAATGATATAGATCCAGTAAATAAGAACAATGATCCGATAGCAAAATAGATAATTGATGGTATCACAACGTGGATATTTAAGTGGTCCATATTTAAGTTTCCAACGTAACAAATGCCGGATACTGGATCGGCATCAACAGCTCCGAACCAAAGAATAGCCAACGTTTGAATAGTTGGCACTAGCCATGCCACACTATGAAAATATTTTGAATACTTTTCGATGGATTCATTCGTCCACTTGAGACGGGCCACTGCAAACCAAGTGAATGATAGAATCACCCACCAAATCGATGAAGCCATGCCAAAGAAGTATATTACGCAAAATAGTATTGTACATGGCGATAAGTCGGTCGATGAAAATTTAATGGCACGTCCATCACAAGCGACATCATTGTGGCCTAAAAATTTACTGCAAAGAAATCCGGTGGCCACCATCAACGAACAAAAGGTTAGAAATTCGATCGATTTTTCTGGATATGTCGGTGTTTCTGTTCGCGATATAAAAGTGACCAGAGTAATAAATGTGCAAATGAAACACACTCCAGCCCATAGTTTAATCCAATGATCAGCAATATTTCGTTGTTCTTTCGTAAAGAATACACCTCGACATGGAAGCGTACAATTTTTAACTGGTCCAATTTTGGCGATATTTTTGCCATCGCTCTTGGTCGAAGTGATGAGCGGAGATTTACACGAGCAATCACAAAATCTCACAAAATTGTCCGGTTTTAAGCAAATTTCCTCCGTTTCATCTGGGAACTGTTCACATGCCATTTCCTCGGGCCAATCAGAATTCATTTGCCTCCAAATTGGTGTACATTCATCGCGTGATCGCTCACACACCGATCGGCATGCTTTCAATGGCTTGTGATAGCTTTCATAACAGATCGGTATGTATTGTGAGCACATGAAGAAGCGAACGTGTGTCGAGCATTGTGAGTCAAGTAAGATCGAAAATGAAACCATGTCAAGATGGGCATCCTCTTGTGTTTGATGATTCATCGCATTTGGAAATGTGGTGAAATTGTAGCCAATGCTTTCGCACATCCATGATGTAATCGGTTCGCAGCTTGTATCATGTATCAATTTATGTTTGGCACATACACTACAAAACACTACACTAATAACGATCAACAGCGATTTACACTTTTTATTTGCCATTTTCTATTTACCGTTCATTTAGTTGCTATGTTTGACTTAAACATTAACGTCGTTTCACTTGATTATCTAATGATGACGATGAATAAAATTAAGGCATTGAATGAATACAGACGAGAAAAAAAACGTGATTTTCTCTCACTTTTGTTCACTGCGACGTGCTTATGTGTAGCGAGCTGATTTAATACTGAAGTCACCGGCCGTTGTCCATCGATATTTATATTTGTGTCTTAAAAAACGGTTCTCTTTTATGATTCGGCACAATTATCTTTGATTATGTGACCATGACCACACATTTGCTTTGGTTTTCGTGCGAATCGAACAGTGGAGTTTTTCTTTTCTTTTTTTCCTTGCTGAATTCTTCTGCGTCAAAAATGCGCCTCCTGCGTGCTTGATGTCGGTGCAGGATGTCTTTATCCGGACAAATACTTTGGACAATGAATGAAAACCACATGAAATGACCCTTTTCGATGTAATAAATTGAGGGGTCAAGCTTTATGCAAAAGTAGTGTGTGCAGATTTGCGCTTATTTTTTTGGTTTTCCCATTCGAATAGACAGATTTTTTTTTTATTGAGCATTGAAAATGCATCAATTTACCGGATTTTGTTGCTACATTTAGAACGACGTGAAATAAAATCAAAACTATTTCGTTTTTAAAACTGATTTTCGACGAAATTGTAGACTTGTGAGACATGATTCACTGATACCGTGGAATTCGGTCAGGTAGAAAAAACTTTAAAGTTGCAGCAATCACATTCTATGAAAGAACGAATGCAGTTTTGATGTAAAACGCAGATAAAATACGAACGACCAATTCTGAGAAATGCAATTCCGCAAAATTCAAGAATCGGAAATTGCACACGATTACTAAAACGTACCGGGTGATATAAGAAGAATTAACAAATGAAATGAAAAAAAATGGGTAAATAGAGTTAGATGGTGCAATTAATGACATTCTGGTGAAATATGCGATTAAGTTTTGAAAAGCGGTAGCATTATTTTTTAAAAGTCATTACTAAGAAGTTCAACGATTAAACGTCGCCAATTCGCAAAAAGATACATAAAAACTGTCATCTTGACTGGGCACAATATGAAATTGTCGACTTTTCATCAAAAGCGTCCATCAATCCATTTTTGACAATCATCAACAAAGAAAAACCAAAATCTTTGGATCCAAAGCACGAAAGATGTTGGAACAATCTGATGTCGTACTCCGCAAATCAACACTTACCCGATATTGTATTGTATTGTATTATGTTTATTAGCGTTAGCTCTTTTGGTTACATTTGTATTTATACATTAAAATTCTCCATTATATGATTTTTGCATTCCATTTTAAATGAGTTTAGTGACGGTTTTTCTCTGATATACATTGGAAGCTTGCTATACATTTTGACTCCATAACAGAATATATTCCTTCTATATGATAGCTTCAACTGTTCTTCTCATTTTGGTACAAGTACCGTGGTGGTTCGAAATATTCTTCCAATAACTCGTCTCAAAAGTTCCAATAATTCTCCTCTTAGTGCACTGAACCAACTGAAATCTTATTTTCCAAAAAAGAAAAAAATCTGGAATAAAATCAGACATACGCTGGGTTATTTTTTTTTTCAAATCATTTATTTCCCTATTTTTCTTTATTTAAATAATAATAATAATATAATTCGTTAGGTATGAAACAGATATTTCGGATTGATCAATATAACTTTCTAGTGCAAACGTTTTCTTTCCATCATAATACATTACATTTTTGTTTCGTGTGTAGGTTTTTTTTGTGTTTCGTATACTTCCATTTCATTTTTTTTTCAATAGATTTTTTTATGTTATTTAATGCCAAATTTGTTATTATATGACACATTAAACTAATAATGTTCAAACGTTTCTAATCATTTAAATGCTCGTTTCTATATAGATTTCTTCATTTCTATCATTCCAATTAATCAAATCAGTTCAAATGAATCGTTTTTTTATTTGCTTTTCTTCAAATGACTACTTCTTACAAACCGGAAAAGAAAAATGCACATAAATTTGAATTCGATTTGAGAAAACAAACAAATACAAAAAGAATTTATTTTCTCCTTTTTTTGCATTGAAAAAAAAAATGAGAGATTTGTGATTATAAAATACATTTCCAATAATTGTGTGTATAAAGTGTCATTTTGGTAATCGAACATAGAAAACTGAAAAACTGTAATTAGGCATGTTGAAAAAGTCTAATATATAAATTGTTTAGGAAAACAGTCAAACTACATGGGATTTCTACATTTGATCTAAAGAACGACGAGTGAGGGGATGTGGGCGCAGGAGAGGGGACGATTTAAAGGGTGGCTTCGTTGAATCAAAACCAACATAAATTTTTAGTGATAAATACACAATTACATGCAACTAATGAACATGACATCGAGCTGAAATACTAATTTAACTTATTAAAATATTGCAACTCCTTGAAATTAGTTTTCGTTCGTTTTTCTTTTATTATCTTGCACAGACCTAAGTATGAGAGTGGTTCATTTAATTGTTTGTGTGTGTGTGTGTTTTTTTCCTTTTTTCCATTTGTTGTACAGATCAGACAATTAACCAGAATCATTCGGAATCTATTTTTTCTAATCAAGACATTTAGTATCGCGTACAGACTGTTTTAATAATGACAACGAATGGATTTTTCTGACCGACTACTGTCAAAGCTAAAACCGGTGAATTCGAATTGGCATTTTATTTGTGTTTCTATTCTTTTTTTTTCTACTCGATCTGCCACAAGCGTGAGCTGAAACAAATATTTCAAAAACTATTTCGTTCGCACTATTTCTAAAATTCATTTCATGAGTAATAAATTTGCATTCGGGATGCATGCGAAATTTCGTCAAGCACTCCAATAGACGGCGACGATGAATGAATCAGTCGATTTTGTAAGTATGTGTGTTTTATTATCTACATCTATTGAGTACATGTTTGGCTGTTGATGATTTGATGATGGTTCTTTTTCGGTGTGTTTACAATCAATGGATTTTGATTTCGATGAATGTGTGCTTGTGTTCGGAATACTTACTAAAAACATACTCTTGATTAAAAGTCGATTCACGCTATGGGTAAATGGATTTTATCAAAATATTTTCGGTTTTGTCCGTTCGTTTGACGTCAACTATATTTGTTTTTGATTTTTTCTTTCAATTTTGCACTATTGTAATAGAATCTATCGTCTTTGCTTGTTAAAATGTGTAATGTGTTTCGGAAATGATTGGCGGTCTAAATTTTTTCTTCTTTTTTTTTTTGGTTCACTCGATATATAAAACATTCATAATCGCAATTATTTTTTTAAATACTAATTACGTATATTTGTGTTTAAATTAATTTTCTTCTCATATAAATGCCAGAAATGTGGTTTTTGTTTCAAATGATTCGAAAAAAAAAATATTATTTTAAAATTTTTCTCTCCTTTATGTTACGTTTAGTGTTTTTCCCAGGCAGTTCACTAAGCGGATACCTTTTGTTATTGCTTTGCTTCGAATGATTGGCAAGTGTTTGGGGGCAGTTTCTTAGAGAACAAATAAAATCGATTTGTGCGTGATTCTCTATGCCAATGTCCCATATCCACATCATTCAAAAAAATTGGTTTTGATGTCCAAACTTGAGTGATTTCAATTCGAAATGTTAACATTTTATTCATTTGGGAACTTTATCTACACTGGAAATCCATCGATTTAACGATGAAAATCGGCAATCGATGGATCGTAACGTCGTGCAATGCCACCTCTCATTGTCTAATTGGCATTAGACATTGGATTGTCTTGGGATTAATAAAAAGAAAATTGCACTCATCAAATTCTTAGTCGAATAGTTGGAATTTAGCATCAGAAAAACATCATATAACTTGGTTTTCTGGGTTCATTTCTTTTGACTTTCTATACCAAATATTTTCAAGTGAATATTTTATAAAATATATACATGTTCAATAATGTGGCAATAGCATAATGCGAAGAATGGGCCAAATACCGCCAAATACTGGCAAAGACGTTGTTCTCTCTTCTTCTATCAGAACAGATTGCCATTCACACTGTTTGAATGGTCATGAAGCTATCAACTGCGTCCAATTTCCATCTTCTATGCATTGTGTTACACATCAAATTGGTTGTTACAATTTTTCGTTTTTGTTTGTGTTTTGTCATTTGCTTTTCGATAAATTTCTGTCTGATCGTTCATTTCTTATGTGGAATTCCTACAAAATAATTCGATTTCTCTATCGTTTGCATTCGTGTGAAAAAAAAAATGGTAAAATGTGTTTTACGTATGTCATAAAATTCGTTCGTAGTGCGTTCGTATATTCAAGCGAATTGAAACGAATCGTCTAAAAAAGATGAGCAATGTTTTCACACTGGAAATCAAAATGCAACCAAAACAATTGACAAACAAATGATTAGTCAAGTCAATGGTTTTCATTTTGGATTAGCACAAAACAATTGATTCAGCCTGAATGAACGATAAAAACAACACACCTACGTTATTCGGATGAATGTTTAAATGCATCGAGTACTAATCGGTGAAAATGTGTCATCGGTATTGTTTGCGTATGCATGTATGTTTGTGTGTGTGTGTGTGTGTGTGTCGGTGTAACTATTGCAAATCAACGTTGTTATTGCTGTTCTATTTATATTGTTCGGTGCAATTTTGATTTCAAAACTCGATTAAATCTTCAAGTAAATATTTTCTTTGCCATTTCTAATTATTATAATCTATACGTATTTGTTGTTTGTTCTCTTTGATTTACATCAATCTTTATTTTTTTTTTTCATTCATTAGTGCTATGGACTAGAGAGCTGCTTGTTACCGATGATTGATATTTGGTAAACATTACTTTTGTGTTCCGCCCCTGGGCTGCGATGTGCTTGTATGTTCGCGTGACGATTCATGGTCATCACACACATATACGCACACATGCCTAACTCAGGGTGGGCCTAAAGTACAAACATTTATGCATATTATACAAATATTTAAACTTCTATGCAAATCTACTTCTATCCTTACTTAAAAGTAATAACCATTATTTCCGTGTGTATTATTCTTTTGTTGTTATTCTTCTCTCTTGTATTTTATTTATAAAAAATATGCATTTTGCTCAATAACGACCGAAATTTGGTCGATTTGATTACAAACTTTCATCAGCATCGTCTTCGTTCCGTTGTTGATGCGACGAAATCACACAAAATATTCGCAAATAAAATCTCGGTCTTAATTCAAGTGCAATTAATTTCCTTAAAATTCTTGACCAGACTTTATTTGGTTTTGCCGTCGCATCACACGAGCTTTTGACAATCTCTTGCTCATTTTTGCAAAGACTTAAATTGATTATGGCATCTAATACTCTTTTTTTGTTGTTGTTATTGATGATTAACATCAACGTTTTTTTTTCTTCAAGTAAATTATCAGTTGCACCTCCCTTTTCATGTGCTTGCCTTTTCCTCTCTGGTCACATTTCTTGTTATTTTTGAACACTTTACACAGTAAAATAATCGAATTGGAGAATCATGGTTTTTTTTTTTTCTTCATCTTTAAATTAAATAATTAAATTGTTGTCACGAGGAAAAAATGAATTTGTTATGTATTATTGTTCATTGGACAGTTAACCTGACTGCTCTATGCGTCATACTACAAATTTGAGACAATATCGGCATGATTCGTGTGTGTGTGTGTTTGTGTGTTTGTGGTGTGTTGAGATATATTTAAAGATTTATTAATTCATTGTTCATGTCACATTAGCGGCATAGGTCACATTAAACTATATAGGTCCATAGTCGCTCAATGCCTGACCGGGCATCTGTCCAGATGGTAATGTCACAACTACACTGACGGCTCGTGGATCAATAACTGAACCGGTTTTGACTGTTCCACCGGTCATTGATGTGCCGCCAATCTCGACAGGTCATACGTGGCTGGCTGGCGGTTGTTTTAGAACATGATGATGCAAATGGTGATGACTAGTCGATGCAACGCTTCCAACTACTGTGAATAAAACAATTATTGGATCAGAATTCGTGGATGGGATTCGATATGGTTTTTATGTTTATTTAAATTATTATCAAAACAATCAAAATTTTGATTGCGATTGGGCGTGAAATTTCAAATCCCAATTTAAAACCCAAATTGAAGGGTAATGAAATTGGCAGCTCCGTGATTTGCTTGGAAATTTAAAAAAAAAAAAAGCATTTCCCTACAAAGTGAATAATTGTTTACCTTGTGTGTACGGCGTGGCAAGCAATGATGCTGCACCAGATGGTACTCCGATGCCCGAGCCAGCGTACGGATATGGAACGGCTGCTCGTTGTTTGATCAGTGCTTGATTGGCACCGCTACGATCGGGTGAACCGAAAATTCGGCGCCACAAACGTTTCCACGAATCAAGCGTTTTGCCCGACCAAATCCATACGCCGGACGTGATGCCAACCGCTAGGGCCATAAAGTATTTCAGCATAAGCAATGAGTAGAGTGGTTTGCGACGCACTCCAGCCGATGCTCGGCATGGGCAAGTCAGTGAAGCCATCCAATCATCATAGAAATACACTTCATACAAACTGCAACCGATGACAATGCTCGCTGGTACCGTGTACAATACACTGAATATACCGATACGAATCATAAGCTTTTCCAATTTGTCAGCTTTTGCACCGGCGCCAATGCCACCTTGTTGCTTGATCACCGATCGAATGTGGAATAATGATACAAAACCAGCTCCCAAGAACGATGTACCGATTACCAAATAAATGACCAACGGTATCAACACGAACGTTTTGAGATTTTCCATATTGAGATTGCCCACATAGCAAATTCCGGCCACGGGATCAGCATCAACGGCTTGAACCAGGACAACAGCAACAGTTTGAACGGTTGGTATGAGCCAGGCGGCCAAGTGAAAATATTGTGAGTGTTTTGCAATCGATTCATTGCCCCATTTCAAACCAGCGGCCAAGAACCAGGTGAACGATAAAATCACCCACCAAATCGATGAGGCCATACCGAAGAAATATGTCACCAAAAAGATCATGGTGCATGATGTTGGACCAGTTGATGAATACTTGATGATGCGACCATCGCATGCGACTTCATCGTGACCCAAGAATACACGGTACAAATAACCGATTGCAACGACAAAGTAGCAAAGCGATAAGAATACAATGGGTCGTTCAGGGTATTTAAAACGTTCCGTGTCAATAATGAATGTGGTCAATGTCATTAATGTGCTAATGAAACACATACTCGACCACAATGTAATCCAAAGGCCAGCAAAATCCTTTTCTTCTCGTGTGAAAAATGCGCCACGGCATGGGACCGCACAATTTTCAACGGTTCCGATTCTGGTTGTGCTTGTGTTGTACAGTGCACTGTCTTTGGTGATTGGTACCAATGGTGGTTTGCATGTGCAATCGCATGTTTTAGCCGTGACGCCTGTATTCCGATCACTTGAACTGGTCGTGCCTGAACTCTTGCAATTTTTACCCTTGCATTTGTTCGATGTCGATGTTTTGCGACCATTGCCACTGCTCGTTCGATCAATATCACCCGAACGTGATGTATCTTTTTCGTTGGCATAATTATCCGGTTGCATGCAGAGCACCTCTTGGTCTTGATACTCCGGGAATCGATCGCATGCCATTCTATGTTGGAAACAACGAGAAGATGGACACAGCTCAGTAATGCAAGAGTCACACAGGAAAACGCAAATAGTAATAGAATGTCAATAGCATAAGAGTTTAACTTACCTTTCCGGCCATGGGAAACTATATTTTTGCATGATTGGTGCACATCCAGCTCGTGTACGTTCGCATACCGATCGACACACCGGCAATGGTTTGTGATAGTCTTCAATACATATTGGCATATACAATGAGCATAGGAAAAATCGTAAATCTGGCGAACATTTCATTTCCACCAATGGAAAGAATTGATTTGCCTCAAGACCGGCTTCCTCTTGCGTGTCATGGTTCATTTCATTCGGAAATGATGTTAAATTGTAGCCAATTCCACGGCACATTGGGATTTTAATTTCTTCGCATCTTGAATTTGGATCGCGTGGTACTGGTGGCATTTGTGGTATTGGTGTGACACCCAAACCTTGCATTCCATTATCCGCTCGCACAATGCACACTAACACACCGATGAGCTTCAAAATTGTCATGAATTTATTGTACGTCATTGTTGTAGATTTGTTGTTTTTTTTCTGTTTTCTCTGCGTTATCTTCTTGTCCGTAGATTCAAAAAATATCAGTTGTTCAATCGGTAGTTAATTCGATTTAGTAAAAGTCTGTGTAATGCGTGTCGCTTTTTGACTTTTTCCGTTTTCCAACCAACAGTATCGTTTTACTGGAACTTGATCATCGATAAAACAAATTCGATTCGTCGTTTTTATTCTGTGGAAATCATTATCAACATTCAGCTGCACTCCACATATCTCAATGTCTGCCATTTAACACGGTCGTTTTATTTCCATGATGAACATCTGAAAATAGACATGTAAAGACGGAAAAAATTAGGAAAAAAATTATGTTTTCATCCATTTTCAAAGTTACTTCAACTAGATCATTAAAAATATAAAAATAAAATATCAAATTCATTTTTTTTTTGTTCATTTGGTAATAGAAAGAAAGGTCCTTAACAAAACGGCCCCTGTCAATTCTCCCCTCGAGCATACATATGACAATGTCACAACAAATTTATAATTCCCACAAACAGATGAAATCTTTCATACACACGAAAAAGTATCAGTTTAAAAGATCGAAACGAAAAGAGAGAAATAAATTTCTATTTGAATGCACACCAACAATTTCATTATATCTGAGTGAATACAACAAACATTTTGACAAGGAAATAAAAATACATAAAAAAAAATATTACGACTTGTTCGGTTCAGGTTTCTTGTGAATATCACATGCTGGTTTTGGGTTGCCAGTACGATAAGATCAAGATCTCTTGTTCGCTCAATCTCTCGCTATCTCGTCGACATTATTTTGTACAAAATTTATTGAAATTCAACAGAAATGAAGAGGAAATTTTGTTTTTATATAAATGGGGAAAAAAAATGAAGAAAAAAAATTAATGAATCCATAATATGTTGATCGGTTCACCAAAACTGATATCTCATCAAATTCCACAATCGAAATGGAAATAACGACAACGACAATGAATGAGAATGAATAATATTTATTTTATGTAACATTTGCCTGGTGTCTTTCTCACTGGTCGTTAATTATTCTTAAATTTTTGTTCTCTCTCTCCCTCTCCTTGTCTCATGATTTCGTGATTGCGGAGCGGATTTCATGCAACTAATGAAATGCATGCGTGATTTCAATCAGTCATCATTTGGTTTGGAAATTGTCTATTCTTTGCATTGCAGTGGCAATCATGTCTTAAGTTTGTTATGTGTGTGTGTGTTTTTATTTTGTGGTTTGCAAAAGTGAAGTAGTTAGTTAGGCGTAGTTTAATCGTCAACAACCTAATTAAATGTGTTTTTTTCCTGCTTTTTCTCTCTCTCTCTCTTGAATTTAGCAGAAAATGAGCAACAACACGCCTGATGAAGTTGATAATAGCCTCATGAAATAATGGTTCGAAGATCAACTATCTTCGTGGATTTTTGTTTTCTCAAACGGTGTTGATAGTTTCACTCTTTGGCAAACCATTGGCAAAGAAAAATGTAGAGAAATATGTTGATTTTGTGTGCGATCGTTCGTGAGGCGCTGTTGCACACAAGAGTTGTGTGCCTTCGACCGATCGTGAGCACTTCTGTCATATCTGTGCTGTCTTGTTGGTGAAGTCGAAGAGTCGTGTGGGTTGGATTTTATTTTTCGCTCTCTCTCTCTCTCTCTCTCTCTCTCTCTTCGCTGGTCCTTTTTCTTTGTTCTGAGCTCAGATTCGTTCGTGCTCTGCATGATTTTCTATGCAGGTGACGAAGAAAATGTAAACAAAGAAAACAAAAACCGATTAGAACAAACGATAATTTCGAAACCCACAAGACACACACAAAACTTGAAAATTACCGAACACAGGCTCATGGCCATATTTACATATTGTGCTGCATTCAAGATCGAAAGGAAAAATGAATAGCAAAAAGAGAAGAAAACCAACACACCGAACTAGATTCATCGAACGTGTGTGCTGTTGTTGTTGTTGTTGTTGATTTTTTCCTTCTCCAATAGAGTGAAAGAAACGCCAACACCGAATTGACTGTTGTCTTTTGTTTTGTCTTGTTGTTGGATCATTCGTTTTTTTCACCATATACACCACATATATTTTATCCCGCTGATTCTTGTGCTTCAGTCAACGAGGCAGAAATAAATGTTGTGACATATTATAAGGTATGGTTTGGTTTATTTTTTTTTAGTGGGTTCCTCTGTTTCCAATTCGTTTTTGTGCACTGCAGACACTATGTGTCTGTTGTATGTACGGTTCAATGTTCTTTTTTTTCTCCTTCACTGTTTGATTTCACTTCGGTTGTGAACTCGTTCGTCGCATCAATATTCGATGTCCGTTTTCAGTTGGTTGCTCAATCACAAAACAAACAATGGCCTGGCGTTCGTCGTGCCAGCATTTTATATTTATTCTCTCCCTCTCTCGCCATCTCTCTTTCTCCGCACCGTCTAATTTCGATGAAAAAGGAGCTGGCCGAAAATCGATAGCCTGTTTGTTGAAATCGAATACCGAGGCAATTTTAAAATGAAATGAAATGAACAATTTCAAGTAATTTCATCTTGATGATTTGATGGATGCGGCGTAAAAATGAAGTGATGCAGACGTTAAACCGAAAACGCCATTGATAATCTCTCTGTTCAATCAAACATGTATTATTTTACCGAAAAAACAATTTTTTTCCCTCATTTCGTTTCGTCTTGATTCTGTTTTGAATGCGTCTTGGATTGCTTGTGAAATTCCTCTCGGTTGAAAAGAAAATCATTGAATTGGCTTCAAAGCGTATAATTCACTTGAATTTTTCGATTTTCATTTTATCATCTTAGATTTTATTCCTGTGCATTTTCTACATACTATACTTGTCTTTGGTTGCACTCAAACTTCCGAAACCAGGGAAATCATCATAAATTGTGCAAAACGATAATAAGGAAGAGAATAAGAACAAAAAAAAAACAAATATAATTAGATCTTGACATTGCAGTCATTTTCCCAGGCCGAGTATATACTCTTACTCTCGAATGGAAGAAAAAAAAATTATTCATTTGAATTGTAAAAGGATAACAAAAAAAGAACGACAGCGCCAGCTCGAAGAACAAATTAACTAAACTGCAGTGAAAAAGTTGGTTAATTAAGAATTGCAGTGGAAAATGGAGTAGAAAAAAACGAAGAACAGTATGAAGAAAAGAGAACAAGAATACGGAAAAAAAACGAGTCGTGGAGATTGCTGTTGAGATGCACAAGATTTACATTTGTTTATATTGATTTTGAAAATCTGTCAAATCGAGCGTAAAAACTCAACGAGAATGCTGTTTTAATTTACGTAACTTTCGAACGATAGAACGTTCAGTATAAAACAAACAAAATGTAATTAAGAGTGCATGAGCAAGAGAAGCAGGAGTGAGTGACGAGAGAGAGAGAGAGAGAACAAGAAATAAATGTGATGAAAACGAAGAAAAGCAGATCAACGAGAGAAAATGCAACGAGAGCAGCAGTGAACAGTGTGAGAGAGAGAAAATAAATATCGAGGAGCGTTAACGACGACGACGACGGCCGATTCCGATCTTTGGAGCCCGAGTAAAGTAAGACGAGAAGAGAAATACACATAATGAACATCTCGAACATAATAATTTAATGAAATTGATTAACAAGACTGAGCTCGTTGTTTGCATAAGTGCATAAACAGTACAATCCCGTGTAGCGTGTAGTGTAATATAGTTAGGTTTTTTTTCTACCGGTATATATATGTGTGTGTATGTTGTGTGTTTACGAAAGGGTGTACAGAGCAAAAACTTTTGGATCAATTTAAGGCACACGCAGTCATGCCAAGAATATATAGATATATATATATTTATACGGGTTTTGGTGAGGATCCTCGAATACGAAACACGACTTCTAACACTAGCACATGCACACGCAATAACAAATTACGGAATCAATTCTTGAGCAGAATGAAAAATAGGCAGCAACAGCAGCAACAGCAGCAGGCATAAAGCCCATAACGACGATGACAAGCAAATCAGTGAAAAGAGACTGAGCGAGAGGAAGCGAGAGAGAGAGAGACAAAGACAGCGTAAAATGCAATGTGAGAATAAGGTGAATTTCACGCACCAAAATGATTTAAAAGCGAAGATGAACGATTCGTCAGGTCGGCGCTGAACTTGATGTATGCATGCGTGATTGTTTGTTTTTGTAAGACAAAATATAAATTTTAAATTCTCCAATTGATTCCAAACAGAGACAGCACTCTTCTTCATCGTGTTCGTTCCGTTTTATTTACGGAAAGGAAGGTAGGCAGGCAACGGATGGAGGGACGACGGGCAGAGAGGGCGAGCGATATGTAACCAAATATTCGCCACACACTGGCAAATGCCTATGGACTTAGTCGTGCCAATATTGACGTAGCGTATATGTTTAATCAACGAATTGCGATTTTCACATTTGAAAACGGCTGAAGCGAATGTTTGTGTGGCATGAGATGTGCATGGACACCAACAATTCATGCATAAATATATACGTAAGACGTGTGTAGCGTTGTGTTGTGTGCAGTTTTTTTTTTATTCGGTATATCTTGTTAATGGTTTTGGCTGTTCTGTGCATCTTCACCGTAATTTTATTTATTTACTTAAGATTTTTTTCCAGCATATCACCGATGTGTTATTCAGTGTTCGTCTTCGAACGATTCGTTTTTGGGTTCTTTGCCTCTTCGTTGTTTTCTCTCTCTCTCTCTCTTGGTGTGTGTTTTTTACGGTTGCTGTTGCTGCTTATTTGCGTTCTTCAGTTGTTGGATGTTGGTTTAGTTTTTTTTTTTTTTTTTCTTGTTGCACACCTTTTTCACGTCGCACTTTTTTTTATCGTTTATTTGTTTCTGCTGATTTATTCGTGGAAAGAACATATTTCACTTGACGCAAATACTCGTCAAAACAATATAGAGATTGTACATCATCAGTTTGTTAACTGAAACTGAACGAACGCGCCGTGTACAGAAAAAAACAATTAATTATTACAAGTCATTTTTGTTGGTGGGGTTTCATTTCTTGCAGCGCTCGTTTGCTCTTCCCTTTATAGCTTAATAAATGAGTTTGGTGCATGTATCATATATGTAAATATATTGATGTTAATCGCACTCAGTCTCAGTGCACCGAAAAACACACTGTGACTGTGTGCAGTTCAAAGGAAATATTTAATGTTTCGGATTTTAAACAGTTCAGTTTTTTTTTGTGTGTATGTGCTACTCTGCTGGACCACGCAAAGTGTTGTCATGTTTGTTGGTTTTAATTCTTCCACTTTTTTGAACACCAAGTTGGATAGGTTTCATGT